ATTTAAGAATGTTTTCTGACAGGGAAATGCAAGTCCTCAGGAAGAAAAATAAATATTTGATTACTCCAACTATCGATATCAATACAAGGCCCTCAGGCATCATGCTTGTTGACTTTGTGAATCATACCTACCTACAGACAGCGCTGCACAATAGGTAATTGCAAGATGCAGAGAGCCAAAAGCAACAGCAAGCAGCTCACTGACACATTACCATGCCACCTGGCACTGGGTTAACATATCTTTCGGGGACCCTTCTCACTGTTCTGACAAGCTATTACTCAGCCACACAACCAGACTGGTCAGTCGTCATCTGCTGTGATTTGTGAGCAGTCTACGCAAAAGCTACAATTAGCCTGGAGTTATATTCTGACTCAAAGGAATGCTTATTTCAAAAAGCAATTTTTAAGGTTTTAGACTTCAGACATCAAATTACGCAGCTCTAAATCCAACTCAAAAGCATGTTTGAAATAGCACATTTTTACAATAGCTGCTTATCAGGGACCTCAAACAAAAATAAAACTTTACTCTGAAACTCATATAACTATCATTTCATGGATCCCAGCAAGGACTTGGAAGGAAATTGCCTACAGATGCGTTAGGCAAACTGTTCAGTYATCAGTTCTTGCCCTGGTGCAGGTAGCCTCTAACAGCAATGCTGTCACAAGACAACCTCTCCTCTCGTATGCCCATGCAAAGGTGGGGAAACGCTGACTTCAGTTTGACGACTACACACATTATAGCTTGATCATATCTATATTTGCACATATAACCATATTTCTGCTCTCCATAGAAACTCGGCAAACGATTATCTTGCAGGCTCACATCCATTGATGTAGATTTAACGTTCTGCTTTCCATTACAGATCAATAAAACCCCCACTGTTGCAAGCAGCAGTCTGGCAAGCTGATGACTCACTGCGCAGATGGATTAAAAGAATTAACAAATTGCTATTTGTGAACATTCACAGGAATCAGAAAGTAACTGTGAGGGGRAAAAAAAAACCAACACACAAAGATAGTAAAGGATATTCTGATCAATTTGCAGACAGCATGCCAACAAAGCAGGACAAAATAGTAATTTYTCTTCTTCACTAATTCACCTGTCTCCTCCTTATGGATTTTAATCCATACAAATGAACCAATGAAACACATTTATTAATGTTCAAATACCAGCACTAAAAATAAGGAAAGATCAATAGTCAACATCTCCCCACCTGTATAAAAGGCTCAAGAGGTCTTCTGATGTCTGCTTTCTTTGCAGGTTTTCATCAAATTATACTGAATGACTAATGTTCGGGTATTTATGGACACAAATAAAATAAAAGCTTTTAAAATGTAGTTCATAGATCAAAATTCACTAAAGAAGCTAAGAGGCAATGCAAATGGCTGCTGCCACATCTTTATTCTTCTACAACTAAGTAGTAGCATACCAGGCCCAAATCTTCAGTAATTACTTCCACAACAGAATGCAGTATTGACTTTTTCCTAAAGCACACAGGGAACCCGGAATACTTCAGCATAATTTAAGAGAAAAGCCTCAGAAAAGCAATGGCTGCTGAAGACTAATATTTACTTCATTTGCACCGAGAAGAATTGCCAGAACTATGAAGTTTGCAACTAAGTCTGCCTCTAGCTTTGGTGTTCATTTTATCAAAGAGAATGAAAATCATTAATGATCTCTATTTCTTTGTTGWTATTAGTAATAAATATATCCTCACAATCCATTGAAGCAGATGAATCTCTTTTGGGTTCTTTAGGCATGCCACTAATACAAATAAATAACAGTTGTTTTAATGCAGTCCCATGAAGACAGACTTTGACCTTTCCTTTTGGTATTTATTTACTTTCAATGATGCAAAGCACAAAAAGATAAAGCAGAAAAAAAAAAAAAGCAAAGAAAACTATTTCCTCACGTACAAAGTGCAATTTTCTTCAAGTAGCACTGCAATTATTTCCAAGGCTTAATTAAGAATGCTATCACAGCACTAGACAAATGGTACTGCTCATTAACCATTGATTAACCTACATGTCAAATCAGAATTTGCTCATAAGAAAAAACTTTATTATCTGGACATACTAAACCTGTAGAGAGATGAGCTATAACCTTCTCTCCTTTGCAGAGATGATAAGAATCCTCCTAACCAGCAGGAGAGTAACTACCATTGACCACATTGTWACAGAGTTGGCTGCTTTGTTGTGCAAAGAATTTAATGCAAAATTCTTTTGAGGTAAGACAGATACACCACCAACTTGAAGATACCCCTTATATATTCAGTTTATAATTAACCAAACTGTTTGCATTCAGCTTTCCTACACTGATATTTTTAGGACAGTAACAGGAATTGCTTATGTTGTATACATTTTATCTGAAATGTCTCATAGAAAAGCATTTTGGGTAGTAAAACAGAAAGAGGAAAAAGTTGCTCATATAAGGGAATTCAGGAATAAATTCAACATTGACTTAGGATTCGTAAACTTTTCGTTACCCTTCTCAAGCACATTAATTAACTTTAATAATAGTCATGTAATCCTTCTCAAAGATAACACACATTAGAGCAAAAAATGAAAATGAAATAACTTTATTTTCTTATAAATAATGGGAAGAACCACCTAAAGGAAAAGATGAGAGGAGTGCTTTTTGATTACTGTACAAATTCATAATGCACCATCATGTACTTTCTTAAATACACTAACGCTCATATAGGATCTGGTCATGTTCCTGTTTAATTTCCTTAGGTAGCCAATAATTTGAAAGTCATGTTCAGTAGTTCTTCCAGGAACCTCTTAACTCCTTTCCTGATTACAAGCTAATTATATGCTAACACATAGCCTAGAAAATTCAATAATAAGATACTACCACAAGTCATTTCGTCCTCTTTTTCAGGGCTAGACATAAGCTTCTCCATTTCTTTAGGTTGTGTTCAAAACACCCCAACACAATTTATTATTTATTTTAAGACTCATAGTTAGCTTATCCCCTCCTGTTCTCAATAATTCAGCAGGAACACTATCAACACCTGGTGCTTTATTGTTTCTGGGTGTTCTGATGGCCTCTTGGTTCTTCTACAAACAGCTCAGCTGCCTGGAAAACTGCTGTTTATTTACTTTTATCCATCTCACCATTAATGAACTCATTAAAACACTCTCTCCAAAGAACTCATTAAAATACTCTCTCCATCTTTCTGTAATTACATTCCTTGTAACTAAGACTTCCATTTTTGTCCTTTATCTGACTCAGGCACAGTCCATATCCTTGTCTCGAATGCTGACACCTTAGCRAAATGTTCTGCGGTTATCTTATTACACTGCCACTTCAGTGGCATGGAGTCATTTCTCTGCCRTATTATTTGATATGTTCCTGCTCTATCTTTTGGCTGAATCATTTTCATTAACATTGGCTTACAGAAGTCACTATATCCTTGCTACCTATCAATGTTCAATTGCTCCCCACGTCAAACTGATTCTTTCTTTTCGCTTGAAGTACCTCCCACTGTTTTTTCCTGCTCCTTTCTTTACTCTGAACGTTTCCCAGGTGGTATCAAGCTGTTCCACAATAGTCATGCCTATTTTTAATCCCYCCTTGGCATGCACGTACACAACCTATAATTCTTAAGGTTATTGCTATTCTTGGGAGCTTTGCCCYTCTTTGAAACAGCTCGGTCAATGTTTTCACAGGTCAGGAACACACACCAGTCAGAAGCAACTACTCTTAGCACATTTGTTCACAGAGGACTGYGACACAAGCCAATTATTGAAAATTTCCACACATTCATGAAGTTTAAGATATTTGAGTTCWGGACATATATTTTTTCTCCATCTATTCTCTTGTAAGACTGTTCTCCTTCAGAGCAGGGGCCTCCTCACCCGTATCAGCCCCATAGGCTCTGTCTCACTATGCAGTATTAGTTGAACCATCCAAGCCATTCAGTTCCTGAAAAAGCCTTCCCCTCCACCTCAACCTTTTCCCTCACAGCTCKGGATCTCAGAGCCACTTCTCCCTTCTCTCACACAGCCTCGAGCAGCCACCTCCGGCCTCCTACTTCACTTTTCCCCAGTTAAGCCCCTCTGCTCCCTTGGGGCGCCACSAACTCCACCATTTCCTTGGCCCAGCTCTACGCGGGTCACTCCCTCCATTTCAGACGGGCGCCTCTTCCCCGAGAGCCTCCAGCGGCTGGGGGCTCCCGTAACCGCACTATTACTGCGCCATCAGCCCCTGAAGAGCCCCGCGCGCCGCGGACGGCCGCGGGAGCCCCGCGAGGCGCGACCCGGGCGCCTGGGCCAACGTTCGGCCGCGGCCAACGGCCGTGACGAGGCGCCACCCGCCCCGCTCGCCATTAGCCTCCCCACACCCCAGCCTGCCGTTCAGCTCCCGCACTTTCCTCACTACCCGTGCTTTCCTCTACCGTGCCCTCTTGCCAGAAAAGTACTCATCGCGCTCTCTGCTCTCCTCTCCCAGCATTCGGAAGTAGCAACGAGCCCCTTTTCTCCCCTTTTTCATTTTATTTTACTCTTGCTTTCCTAAGCGTTAAGCGAATCTACTAATCGCCGGAAACTATGGCGCCATTTACACTCTCTCAGCGGAAGCGGAAGCTTCGCCATTTTGTTTCGGGTGATGGCGACTGTGGTGCTGTGGAGCTGGGCAGCTCCGCGCGGGCCCGGCCTTTAGGGGGACTCGCCTCTCGGACACTCACTGTTACCGCGAGTTCCCTCCTCCTCGTGGCACCCCCTGGTGATGTACGGAGGGGCCGGGGGCTCTCGACGGACCGCAGAAGACGCAGGCCCGCCGCCCCTAATGTTGTTGTCAGGCGGGGGAGCGGTCCCGGGGCCCCCCGGAGCAGGTGCAGGAGGAGGAGGTGGAGGTGGGAGTAGCCGTGTGGAGCTGCTGGTGTTCGGCTATGCCTGCAAGCTGTTTCGAGATGATGAGAAGGCTCAGTACCAGGAGCAGGGGCGACACCTTATTCCTTGGATGGGAGACCCCAAGATCATGATCGATAGGTCGGTGCAACCCAACCCCCAGCCTCTGCTGCGAGATCTCCTGTTATAGCCTCTTTCTGTTCCCCCCCTAATGCTGTGGGCAAGTGAGGGGGGCTGTGTGAGCGGCGGAGGCCTCGCTCTGGCAGGCACGTGGGCTTGCTCTTCGCTGGCGCGCTGGAGGCTGCTCCTCCGGGTAGAGTTTTTCAGATGTTGCTTTCGTCACACTGCAAAGCTTTTCCCCCTGTCAAGGGGAACTTCGGGGTTCCCCTGCCTGTCRACTTCGGGAGTTTGGCCCGAACCCTCCTGATATTTGGTGTGTTCTGAGGTTTCCTGCTCCGCATGGATAGGGTAGGGTTTACTGGGTGGAGGTTGGGAAGGAGCCTCTGTTTTCAATGTAAACCCCACTATCATCTATTCCCATTTGGAAACTAGGGAAGCCTTGTTGTCAGGATATGCTTGTCAGACCTATATTGTTTGTGTCCTCAACATAAACGGAGTGCACTGYGGGAAGCAGAAAGGTATATATCCATGTAAGGGAAAATTGGGCCTATTTCTCTTATGTAATCTGACTGCAAGCTATTTGTGTGACCTCTCATGAGCAATTCTGGGGCAGAGAACTTTCTGTTTGTGCTGTGAGCGACTATGTTAGGTAGAATGGCCCTGTATTTAGGAGCTGCTTCCTCTTCCAATTTTATATCAAAAAAAAAWTTTTTTTTAATCTCTTTTGAGGAGTGTTGTTTTGTAGTAGATGCTGGTTTATGGCATGAGAGGTTTTGAGGGGCTTGTCTTTGTTCTCTGCTTGGTCTCTACAATAGCACTGGCAGTGCAGAGTAGGATTTAGAAGTAAATTGGTTCATAATAATTCCTGCCTGTTTTTGCGGAGAGGGAGGTTGAGCAGTCGGGTTGTGTGTTTCTGAGAGGAGCACTGAGAGCTCAGTTCAAGAGGAGTTGTGGGTGTCCCTGGAAACCTCAGTGGGAGAGATGGAAGGATTTTGCTTTGGAAGAAATCACATGACATACAGTAGAAATTTGTTCCCTCAATTTCATCAGTATGTTAGGGCTAAACATGATTTTCCRTGTTTGAGTTTTAACAGGAGTATTTGACTTGGAAAATAATAAGTGTTAGTCTTTTCATTTACCTTCCATAAAACTGGAGAAAATACCCTTGCAGTATATTGGATTTTTCCCTATTAATGATTTCTATGATTGAAGTTAATTGACACATTGAAATAAATAGGGAAAAAAAAGAAAAAAAAAGAAAAGAAAAAAGTAAYGGTGATTGTAGCTTAGATGTGTTTTATGTCTTATATGAAAATAGAAGTGTTACAGTGCTTGTCTTCTAACGGCAGTTCACTTCTATGACAGATTTCTTTAGTACGTAGAGGTATTTTTATGATTCTACTTAGCTGTCTACTTAGCTGGGACCCAAATTAGAGTAGCTACAGAAATTGCTGGGAACAAAAGCTAAGTATGTGCATGTATACACATATGATAACCACCTCCCCCCCCCCCCCAAATGCAAATATCCTACGTCTATAAGCTAGGGAATTTGCACTTACTAATTTTCTAAACTCCTTTGGAAGCTTAGGTTTTTTTCCATCTGCAGCAGCAGGAAGTCTTCATTTTCACCTGTTGAGGAAAAAAAACATTGCTGTGAGAAGACATGGGTTGAAGTTTACCTGTGGACAGAGCTTGATTAACCAGACCTACTTGTTTCATTAACTTTTTGCTATTAGAATATTTACTTTCTTTATTTTTGGTCTAGCAAGTTGGCACAGGTCAAGAGTTGTGTGTGGGAAGACACCTCAGCGGAGTCGAGCTTACTGTCACTTTACTTTCCAATCAGTTTCTTTTACTGGTGCATATACATTATCCCAATGCAATGCTTTTTCTGCCAAGAAAATTATTTCTGCTTAGTGGAAAGGAACTGTACRTCATTGATCTTTGCCGTTTTTACGGTGAACCTCCTTAAATTGCATGTTTATGTTACTGTTCCTATGTATGTGTGTCTCTCTATCACATAACCCAGAACTTATTTCCTCAGCCAAATGGCTAGGGGCCGAGCCTAGCCATGATTTTACCTCCAATGGACGCAAGTTTCTATGGTGAAGATATCTCCTGAGAGTTCGGGACTAGCAGAAAGAAGCGAGGAAATTTCGACCGTTTGGTTCTTACGGATAGGTATTTATGTATTCGGGTTTGTGTGAATGTAAGCTATTTGACTTTCCAGAAAAACATATTTTGCAAGTGACATTGATTGGTTGGTTGAACTACATACGGTAAGAGCTCTTAAGGAAATGGATCCCACTTAAACTATTAAAGGATACTTTTTGCCTTTAATTGTAGTAATTTATTATTTTCTTTGAGAGGAATTTAGACAATTAAACAAATTTTCAATAGTTGGTGACAAATGATTAGCAAAATTAAATGTAACTTCTAAAAGGAAATATGTTTTAACATATACGTGTTACTTTTTTTTTCATTTTTAATGGGTAAGTATTTAAGTAGTCACATAAACCCCAGTCCTAAGTTTCTTGCATTGACCAGCTCTTTCATCTTGCAGGTATGATGGACGTGGTCACCTGCATGACCTTTCTGAATATGACGCTGAATATTCCACGTGGAACAGAGATTATCAATTGTCTGAAGAGGAAGCTAGAATAGAGGCCCTCTGTGATGAAGAGAGGTATTTAGCCTTGCATACGGACTTGCTTGAGGAGGAGGCGAGGCAAGGTATTGCTCAAGGAAACTTCCTGAGTTAGCACATGTTTAAATAAATAATTAAGAAATTATATTTACTTCAGTTTATTTTATACTCACTTTTTCTGATGTTATCTTGACAGTACCCAGTGGATTCGAAAAACGGGAGTCTTTGCGTATGTGAGAGGACCTCAGGATAGTTTAAATATAGATCCACACAGAAATTGCCCAGATTCTGAGGGCAGACTGGGATTTCAGACCAAAAAAAAAGCCCCAGAATAAACACATTCTTCTTCTTTTCAGTGTCTTTTTATTTTTCTTTCTTTGTTTTTAACTGAAAGTGAGTGTTCTTGTGTACATAATTTCAATAGAATATTTTAACCCTCAAACTTCAATTCTTCAGGAAGAAATAGTCAGCAAATACAAATGCTGCCTCTTTCTTTTCAATTTATAATTAAAGTTAAAATGAACAGGTGAAAATTTATTTATTTCTAAAAACTTAAGTTGCTTTTTTTTTGATAAATTAGCTTTTAAGTATTTTTTTTAATTGAAAATTGCATTTTTGTTCAAGAGGAGGAATATAAAAGACTGAGTGAAGCTTTGGCAGAGGACGGTACATACAATGCAGTGGGATTCCGTTATGGCAGTGATTATTATGATCCTTCAGAACCCACTGAGGAGGAGGAGCATCAGCCTGCAAAACAAAGAGGTAAGAACTAAACATAGCAAGGGTTCACTTAGATGAGCAACACACACCTCTGTCATGGTAACTTCTAGTTGAAAAATCTATGTTTCATTAAAATGAAAGGAGGATTAAAAAATTAAAAGAAGGAAAAGATCATAACAAACACAAACCATAATTAGAATACAATGTTTTTGGTTTTTTTTTTAAAAAAACCTTAGATCTTGCCATCTTAGTTTTTAAAATTAATGTCTCTTTAACATAGAATACCTCTCTCCAGCATCTTATAAAATCCAGAGTTCCAGTTCACATTTTTCCTGTCTTTAATTGTAGTAAATAAGCATTTTTAACATGAAGTTTTAAGGAAGCTTTCACAGTGCTTCTGAACTGTTTTAGTAAACTTAAGATCATTTAATAAACAGTTGGGTTATCTAAGTGTGTATTGGTGTATTGCAGTGGTATGAGATGTATTTACTGAGTTATGTGATATAAAATGAAAAAGTAATATCTTTTTAGATTTTACAGATTTTATTTTTATTTTTTTTTATTATTTTTATTTTTATTTTTATTTTTTTTTTTTCAGTTTGTATAGGAGGTCATGTCAGAGCACTGTTATTGCTGCTTGTATTCAGCCAAAAGTTTCCCTTGTATTCTTTACTACCCATACTGAATTGGGTATTTTTTTTGGCTTACCTTTTGATTTGTTTTATTCGCATTTGTTAAGTAAAATGCATAAGCTAACAGTTTCAAAGTCTCTTTGCCTGCAGTCTTTGATATTGCTCGTGAAATGGATGTTCTGCGTATTATGTAGACCAGTAAATACCTAGGGATAAGCCTACTGGAAAATTGGGGATAATGGAGAGCATGTTTGTAACTCAGCTCCTGCGTTGAGATTAAAAAAAAGAATGTCCCCTTCATTTTAGTCCCTAAACAAGAATTTGTTGAACCTTAGAGTGTGTCAGTGTGGTAGGGGATGTTTGCAAAAGTTTGTATGAAAGCATGCTATAATCTTAGGGAATCCATCTGTGATCATTCAGGGAATAAACAGAAATTACACTTTGTAAGACTGCTGTCGTGAGCCCAAATTGTTTGTCTGGATTGCTTTATGTTACTTTCCTTTGCTAAGTTGTTGAGATATCTAGAATAATTCCAGTCCATTTTTTTACTAGTGTGTGTCTGTCATAACTTATTAAGAGGAGATATAGATCTTCTGTGAAGGTACTTAAAGAAACTTAATAAAATAAATCATAATATTTGATCAACAGATCAAATAGGTTTTAGCCTCTCTAATGGATTACTGTACAACTTTCATTAGAGTTGGTAAGATGATGGAAGTGCTTGGCTTGTTTGCGTAGGACAAAATGGTAGATTAATTGGCAATGACTTTTTTTTGTGACTGTGTACTTTACTGACTTTCATCCTACAGTGTTTTATTCTGTCATTTCTTGCAGAAACAGTTCAGACAGAAAACGCGGAAGAAAATGAGGAACCTTTTGTTGCACCCCCAGGACTGAATGTACCTTCTGATGTGGAATTGGTAAGTGTGTGTATTTAACTCAGCTTATTTTTATGACAGTTTCAAAAATATGTGGTGCTTTGCTTTCATTTTTCCACTAGCTTTACCTTTGTGGATTTTAAGTCATTCTGAAATAGTAGCTTAGTTCTTTTAGTAACTTATTCCAATTCAGACAACTGTATTGAATCTTGTTCCTCACATAGAAAACTCACATAAAAATATTAAAATGTTTAGGCTAGGTGCTTTTAGCATCACTTGTGATATTATATGAGGTATTTAGGAAAAATGCCATTGTTCTTCTTGCACATAATATATTAAGTAACCACTATGCATCAGCCAGCACACAAGGTGAAATATGTATGAAATGACAGATTGTATTTTAAGAAAATCTTAAAGATTTAACTCCAAGGTTGACCTTCCAAATGTAAGGGACCATTAAACCAAAAGATTGCTTTTGTTAGAGATTCTTTCTGTGTCTTTTTTTTTTATTTCAGTCTCAATGTGAAGGGGAGACAGAGTGATTGCATTTAAAGCTGTGTTTAAGACTAGCCTATTCRAGGAGAAAAGCGATAGTTTATTTTTAAACTATTATAAATAACAACATAGAAGTTCTTTCTCTTTGTGTGATGTTCCAAAACTTGGTACATCGTAAGCTGTAAACTTAGTGGCAGCTTGTGTGTTTTACCTGAAGGAATACTTCTATCTAACTCTTTTTAACTGTCTCCTTCTAAGGTGTTTCAGCAAAATGAGGTAACSTTGGGGTCAGGATACAGTTGTAAAAATGAGGAATTTCAATATGCTTCAAGTTTTATAAGAGATAGTGATGTGATAAATAATAACCTGTCTTGTATGACGTTGATGTGAAAGTGTTAATTTACATTGGGCCTACCTTCTCAAGTTGTCTCAATTTTCTCTGTGTTTTGCTTGGTTGTGGTGGGTTTTTTTTTTTTTTTTTTTTCATTCTGAGAAGACTGGAGGATCATTTTTTTCTTCCTAGAAGAAAATTCTGAGAGGCAAAATATGACTTAAGTTATTTTTCAGACCTGAAGGATGGAGGATATTTGCTTAATTTGTAGTGACTCACCTAGAAAAAAGTTTGAACTGCAAAAAATATTTTAATATTGGAACAGAATGTCTGACTACATTATAGCATTAATGCAACTGGAGTATTTCTCAGAACCATTTCTTCCCTATTGTGACAGCTACTGCTATGTGCAGAAATTTTAACAAAGAGATCTTATCRGTTAAAATGCTTCAATTTTTTTATTAAATATAACAGTGAGCTGGAATGTGCCTGCCAGAGCTGCCTCTCTATTTGACAGTCGTTTAATTTTTTCACTTTAGAAAGTTTTGTCAGTGGTGGTGYTGGTGATCTTGGAAGCCTACTAATATTCATAGTGTATGTTTGCCAGGCTTATGAAGTAGCACAGGGTACTACGACACCAGACGGTAATTTCAGACCAGTCATTTTTGATCTTCTTCGCTTGAGGKTTTGTTATTTTTCTTCTAGTTCCATCATGAATCTCTATGCCTTAAAGTGTTTTTTGATATTCCTGTGTAAAAATTACAGGAATAGGAAAATTCAACATAGGATGAAATTGTACAACTGGCTATTCAAAGCTGCCAAATTGAGAGCTATATTGACTCTAATTAAAAGCATCTTTGATAGTGTTCTAGAGAGAAAAATAAAATTTGAAACTACAAATTATTTTCCAGATTGAATGTGTTTTTCTAATAAAGAACTAATCAGTAGAAATAATTTGTAAAAATTGTGTTCTTTGATCGCTTATTTACCTGTTTTCTTAAATAAAGCATCAATGCCTGGTGTGCTTCTGACCTCTTAAAAAAGGTTTTCTAAGCTCTGCGGTGTACTTCTGCATCTAGAATAAAAGTGAAAGCTAAAATGAATCATTAACACTTAATTTTCCATACGTATACTATATGCATTTCTGCAGGATGAAACAGACCTATTCAAGTATGAAATTAAAGACAATGAATGGTCAAGTTTTCTTTTCACTTCTTGGCATTGAGGTTGCAGTGTTCCTCACATGGAATTTCAGAAGTGGAAATGCATTGATGCTGTTTAATTTATTCAAATTCTTTTTTCCTAATGAAGTGTTCAGTGTTGTAGTTGACTCTGAGAAAGAACAGCACGTAGGAACTGTAATTCTTATATCGGTCTTCAGAAGCAACATATCCCCTTAAGAAAATGCACAGATACAAGCTTTTCTACCTAGGGAACAATATTCACATATTTAGTGATAGCAGCACAAAGAATGGCTGTTAGGAAGAAACAATTACGTGATGAGTCTTCAGAACACCTTGAGTTATTCTAAAATAGAGCCACTTGAAATCAGCACTGCTGTGTGAAGAAACATGTCTGTGTCCTGTTTGGTAAAGGCAGAAGTGTTCTTATTGCTATGTAATATACTTAGTTTAAAACTCTTATTTTTTTTTTTTTTTTTTAATCTTTTTATGGCCCTGAACATGGATTTACTTGCCAATTGAGTTTGGTGTGCAATGGCAAAAATACTTGTGCTGATAAAAGGGAGAGGATAATGCAGAGAGGAGATGAATGACCAGCTGGGGAAGGATGAACTTTTTTTTTTTTTTTTTTTTTTTTTTTTCCAGTAATGATTGGCTTCCACCAGCTGAAAGTGATTATGAAACTATAGAGCTAAAGAAAGCTAGAAATGGGGCAGGGAACTGATGCTGTTTTTAATTCTCTCTAAGTTCTGGTGAACTTTATAGGCTGCTTATGAAAATATATGTTATTTTTCTCCCACAGCCACCAACAGCAAAAATGCACGCAATTATAGAACGAACTGCAAACTTTGTTTGCAAGCAGGGAGCACAATTTGAGATTATGCTGAAAGCCAAGCAAGCACGCAACTCCCAGTTTGACTTCTTGCGATTTGATCACTACCTCAATCCCTACTATAAATTCATTCAGAAAGCTATGAAAGAGGGACGATATGCTGCTCCTTCTGAAAATAAAACAGAGGATAAAAAAAGTAAGTAATTGCTTGTCAAATGGCTGGTTTTAGGATGTGAGCCACTGAAATGCTTGCTGATCTATTTTGATAGAAAAGCCACATCTTTTTCATATACTGGAATGGCGATACTGTCACCCTGCAATTGAGATTGATGCGGTGATTTAAAGTAAGAGGATAATTGGCTTAAACAGAAAAAGATTTGTGTTAGAAAAAAATCTTTTCAGGAGAATTTCAGATTCTTCAAAAGCTTCTGTGATCTTGGAGCTTTTAGAAACACGCTAGTTCAATGAAAAGTTGGTCTGTGTACTTCACTTCTACTGATGGCTAGTAATCTCTTGTCACTTTTTGTGAATAAGTAAATTTATGAAAATCATGTTTCTTTAAAGAAAAGGCATGCACATGATGTGCACATTTCCTCCTTCTCTATAAAAACCCATATAAAACTCAGATAAAAGTTGTGACATTGTTTTCATTTAGATTCAAAAGCCAAATCTGAGGAAGATGATGATGATGACGATGAYGATGATGGAAACTATCTGCATCCCAGTCTGTTTGCATCTAAAAAATGCAGTAGACTTGAGGAGCTTATGAAGGTACTCAAAATGACTTTCTACCTTATAATTTGTGCCCTGTAGTAAGACATTTTACAATATGTAAGATGTTTTGGTAACAAAGTAGAGGTTTTTTGTTTGTTGTTTTTGTTTGTTCATTTTTTTTCAGGCTCTTACCTGARAATATTTAATATCTTTCATATAATATTTGAGAAAGAATGTTTTCTTTCTAGATTTTAGTAGATAGAATCTTAATATTTCAGCAGAATTAGTAACACTCATTGTAAGTCTTGAGATTGACTGGATGTATTAAAGATATTTTTGTTGTCTGAGCTTGCTCAATAACAGAATAATGAGAGTAACAGATGGTTGTACCATTTGAGGTACTTCTGAAAGTCTTTCAGAGGCTTCTAAATAATATTTAGCCAAATTAAGTCCTGTATTTGATTACCTTTGATAAACTAACAAGAGTAACATACGCTTTTCCATGTTGTGAATTTATGTTCCCATCAAATGAGCTTTTTTAACCAATTTACAAGGAAAAAATCTAGTTGATGCTTCAGCAAGTTAAAGAGCTACAGAAGCAATAATTTTGGTAAAGATCAGTAATATCRTCTATTTATTAATTTAGATCAGCTTGCCTTCCAAAATTAGAATTATAGTAGTGTGTTTTAAGTATACAATTCAAATTCTCATCTCTTTTCATGATTTTTTGCAGCCTCTGAAGGTGGTGGACCCTGATCATCCACTGGCTGCACTGGTCCGCAAAGCACAATCAGATAATAACTCATCTACACCACAGTCAACAGATGGAGCAGCTGCACAGACATCACAAGTAGAATATTCTTCTGATTGTAAGTGCCTTGTGATTAGGCAGCTGTTTATCTGATTGAATTGCATGTGGATGCTAATGGGAAGAAAATGCATTAGCTTCATATTTGATCATTCATAACTGATAGTTATTTTCTTTTAACCTTCTGAATGTTAGAAGGTGGTTTTAGCCACCAAGTACCTGCCACAGTGTTAGCTGTTTAGAAAAAATAAAAACTGCAGTGGGCGAGAATGGTTAGAACAGAACTCTTGATGGTTTTGATCAGCTTCAATCAGTTGCTGTTAATGAGGCCTAGTAGAGCAGAACTGTGTGAGAAAGGTGGTGATCCTTCCAGATCAAGAGTCTTTTCCAGTCCTCCCAACTGAAATTTACAGCTTTATCCTGAGAAGCCAGGAGCCCAGATTCAAAAATCTATAGTAATTTTTTGCAGTTCATTGCCCTTTTCATAATCCTTTTCTGTAGTTGTGACATTTTTATCTAGGCTAGTAGCTTTTAAGTCAAATGGCATTTTAGAACTGTACATTAAACTAAATACTATATCACAGTTTTCGTTCTCTTTATCTGTTAGTAAGATGATTGTGAAAGAGTACTAATTGCTTTGAAAATGTTTTCTTGTGCATTTATGTCCTGTAACTGATTTGTTACGACTAGTGCTTATGTTCAGGTCTGTACAATTACAAAATCCTTTAAGGGGAAAAACTGCAGAGCAAAATTAAATGCAAGTTTAAAAACACCTCTTTTGGTACAACTCAAAGAAATATTTTGTTAAATGATAATCATGTGGTTTCTTTTATCTAACTCTATCATCTATGATTCATACTAAAAGATCAAATTTTAAATCTTTAATTTCTTAAATACAATGCTTAAAAACTTAAGTGTTAAATTATTTGGAATTCACCTAATCTGAACTATAATCCTTTTCATATCAAAGCATAAGCACAGGTTTAACTGTTTAAGAGAACCATTTTCTTCTTGATAGTAGAATTGTTATTTTTGTGAGGTCTCATTACTGCTATTTTCTGCGAGCAGTAATAAACAAGTGGGATAAACTAATTCAGTCATGCCTTCTGAAGCAGTGTACTGAGATTGTAAAATATCTTCAGTGTTGAATATAAAACTGTCCCATAAGGTAATTCACGAGAGTCCCATCAAAAAAGCTTGCTGTATTAAGCAAAAAAGCATATAATAAATCTGCTTTGAACAGTTTTGTGGACTGTGTGACACTACAGAAACTCTGCAGAGCTATAATTATGTATATTGAAAKATCCCTATTAGGTGATAAATCTAGGTTTTAATATGATATTCTGTTCTAATGTTGGCAGTAGTTCTAAAGTGGAAAAATATTTTAAGTCATTTGCTCAATTCATGTAATTTCTCATCATTTCACCTTTCTTTTATGTCCTGGTACAATGCTATTAATGGAAGCCAGTAGGTAATGAGCACACTCCRAAGTAGTTGATATACCACATTTTGAATAGTTTTAGTACTGTTGTTGCAAGCACTATTATTTTGGAGATGCAAGGTGATTACGATGCATTGTAAATTTGCTTTCTCACCTCAAATGACTGGTGTTTTCAAATGTCTCAAATGTTTTCAAATATATTTCTTAATGCCAGTAAATGATTTTTTAGACTGAAGTTCAAGAGAATCTTACTAAAATTGAAATAGGAGTTCTGTGTTGATAAGGAAAATCACTAGATATTTTGAGAAAAACTAAAACTAGAATTAGTATCTGTAGAGTAATGAGAAAACTGAAGTATATTACTTTCATGTCAGTCTTGGATATGAATGCATGTGATGCATTAATATAAATGAASTCAAAGTTTGCAAGTTACATTTGCATGTTGTCTTCTTGCCTTTATAACTCAATAGATTTTTATTTTACTTCCCTTACAGCCCTTTATTCTTTATTTAAAGTCAATACTGCCATACAGGATAGCTTATGAAACTCATTTTGAGAAGATAACTCATTATAATATGATGCACTGGTTAAGCAGTGTTGATTCTGTTAAAAAGATCCAGTTAGAGACATGCAAACTGCTTTTATTACTCTGTCCTAAAATCAACTTGGAAATAATTATTAATTTCCTTCTCTTTGAATCTGTTTAAGGTATTTGGCTGAAAAATGTTGCTTATGAATGTATGCAAAGAAAGTTAATGCTCAGCCTCAAGCGATTATGGAAGGAGAAAAACTCTTACCCATGTTTAAAAAGAAAATTTTTTGTAGTATTTCTGTAATGTAATCTTAGGGAATAAAGCTAGTGTAGTTAAATATAACTTGCACTTGCGTGTATTTTTTGCAACAAAGCTCACAATTTATCTAAACTAATGAAGTTTAAATAGGATGTTTTTTGTCCATTTTTAAGATGAACATAAAATAAGCGGGTTTTAGTGGCAGTTTTTACTAGCAGTGGCAGTTTTTACTAGCAGTATGTTGTTTATTAACCTTTTGACACAGCTTTTCTGTTACTACGGAATGGATTATCATAGGATCAGGAAGTGATTAGGTTGTCACTACTGGAAAGCCTTGGTAGAGTGAGATGTAAGAAGCAGCATTGRACTGGGTAAAATGAATGGCTAATCACGCAGTGCATCGGTGACTTGCTTGTGTATGTCCATAAGGGAAGACTAAAAAGGGGAGCAAATAAAATTAAAAAGCATCACAGTTAAATACATTGAAGTACAAAGTTATGGTACTAACTGCAATAGCACATTCCTGAAGCAAGCAGTTTAATCTTAAAGCCAGTTTATATATAATAATCAGATAAATTATTGCACTAACTGGAATTACAAAGGATGTTAATCTCCATCTTTGTTTGCCTGAAAACTGCTTGTTGCCCTGCGTTTGTCCTGACACTGTTGTCAGCTGCAGGTGATGAGATTTTACCAAGTAACCTGGGTCCATCATTTATGTTAGATGTGCTAATCTTGCCTGGGTTCTTCTCTTCAGGTGTGTTGGTATCAGGACTGCTGGTATCAGTCACACATACCCKGAGGCTTTTTCCTTGATAATAATTATCTGTAGAATGTGATGCTGAATTTAATATTTTGGGAATGCTTGAGTGTGTTAAAAGGGATGATGGTGGGAGCAATACACAAACTGAGAATTTTCTTTCATTATTTGTATATTAGTGTATATTAGCCTGCTTTAGACAAGAGTCCACAGATTTTGCTCAATTTCCCTGTAATGTGTTTTTCCCCAGGTCATAACCATATRTTTAATGATTAAATTATTGAGCTGGTTTAGTAGATGGAAACTAGAAATACCCAGTAATGGTGGCTTGTTTTCTGGTTCCTTAGCTCAAAGATTCTTAACCTAATAYAAAGTACTCACCTTTTGGGCATATGAATGATGATTCAGTATCATTTGGTGCATTTAAGATGTGAAATAGTGCATCTAATATATAAAACACATCCTACTTAGAAACTAAATGAAYTAATACAAAGCAAGGAATTAAATATATTTTAGTCATGTTGAGCTGAAAGTAGTTCTTTTTATCAGGGATTTGGTAATAAAAATCACGTGCCTGAGATTTTTCTTCTCCTTTTTAATGAGCTCTGAGTGGTCCCTGTCATTCACTCACAGGGTCACTCTTGACTCTGGGTCATCCTTAGGGGAAAAAAAAAGTGCCTTCTGAAATGTGCTGGGGCAAAAATTTAAAATGAATTTAATGACCCCAAATCTGAAATCGGAAGTTTGAACCATCAAGTGCAGAGGATGAATTCACTGCCAATAAAGTATATTTAAGACTATCTAATAAGATTATTTTTCTTTTCTGCTCATAACAAGTACTAGTGATGTATTCAGCTATTTATTTATTGAGAAGTTTGTATATAGTTCATGAATGCAATGAAATATTGGCCACTATGAACCTTGATTTTTCTTTTTTGTGTATGTGTTTGTGAAATATTCATATTTTTCTTATGAGTGTAGCATATGTAAATTACCTGTTTTCCAACTCRGGTCAGGCAACTACTGCAGCAGTAGTATAGTTTAACAGTTGTAACATAACAAATGGAAATCACTTCTAAGCTTTTAATTTCCACATTTGTAAATGCGAATGACTACACAGCTTCACAGTTAATAGACTRTATAGTTTAATTTCTATTTAACTGGGTGTATTGTTTGTGTAACTGGATATACAGTCAACACAACTCTGATCCCACAGCTTGTAAGGCAAATGTGTTTACCAGTTAAGATAATTACTTGAATGCTTAAAGCAGATTTTTACTAGCTTTTATAAAGCTGTTACTTTTATTTTGATGAGTGGTAGCAGCAAAGGCTATTAGTAAACCAGAACTTAAAGCTAAGTATGTATCTATTCTAATTTTCTCTTTTGAAAAACAATTTTGTCCTGATTGTGATACGACGGCTTTAATTAAACTGAGTCATCCTATTAACTACTGGTTTGATTTGTCAAAGTTAGTTTTGAATGTGTTTGCGTTTCTTTCTTAATGCATACACAATTTTAATTGAGCTAAAATGCCTGAGGTGAATTAGTTTGGGAAGAAGGATTTTTTAAGAGGTGACTGGTTTTTGTAGGCCTTCTCTGGTTCATTTCTTTATTCATACCTRTGTGGTTTCCAGCTGACCTTCATTAAGTACTGACTGTGTCCTTCAATATATGTTGTTCTTACTCATTCTAAGTGCATTAATTTGAATGCTTTCCCTTTTAACACAAAATTTATATTAATTTTAATGTGCTATGTGAATCTAGATCCTAGATGTTTTGTATTGATGCAATGATGTCTTTTGGGGGGATCCTAATCAAAAATTTGAAATTTTAATCTTATATTTTTCTTTTTTGATAGCAACCGTGGCAGCCATGTATTATAGTTACTACATGCTGCCTGACGGAACCTATTGCCTCGCACCTCCACCTCCAGGAATAGATGTTGCCACCTACTATAATGCATTGCCTGCAGGGGTGACTGTATCTGGCACTACAGGAGTAACAACAGTGCCACCCCCACCAGGTACTACACCTCCACCTCCCCCAGAAACAACCGAGAGCAGCAGCACGGTGACTTCTACCACAACTTCTACAAGGTACCACCTGAAACATTTATTAACAATTTTATTACCGCCTGTTCCTTAGTAATGTTCTTCAGTGCTTATATTGCTTCAATCACCAAAAAGACTGAAGTGGAATTGGTCTTTGATATGGTTATTGTTATTTGGCTACTGTAAAATTTTTGCTTGATGAAATATTAGTAGGTGCTTTAACTGCATAATAACCCAAAAAGCAAAACTCTATTTAATGTTTACTTCTTGAGAGCTTGAAAGATATTTATGATTTTGTTTGTTTTTCTTGTAAAAACGATGTACTTCTGATGTTTTCAGCACAATTGCTCCAGTGGTTGCCATTATACCTCCACCACCAGATATCCAGCCTGTTATCGACAAGCTAGCTGAGTATGTTGCTAGGAATGGAATAAAATTTGAAACCAGTGTTCGTGCAAAGAATGATCTTAGGTAAGAGAAGGCATTATTTTACTTTTCATTTTAATAGTTGGTAATAGATAATGGTAAAAAATTCAGGGACCTGCCTAATAATAGAAAGAGAAAACAATCAATGAAAGTATGATAGGCATAAGCTGTGTTACATCCAGACATTCAATAACATTCCCTCTGCAGGAGGTGGTTARGTAGTAGATGATTGTACGTATTGTGTTTATGTGCATTTTCACAAACTCAATTTTCTTTTAACAGATTTGAGTTTCTGCAGCCATGGCACCAATATAATGCTTATTATGAATTTAAAAAACAGTTCTTCCTTCAAAAGGAGAGCAGTGACCACTCTCAGGTACACAAATGTTTGCATATAAAAATACTAAAAATATATTGTAAATGGGAAAAGGTTTTTTTTTTCTGTCATGTTACTGTGAGAATTTTAAAATGGACATTTTAAAAAATGGAATTGCTGCTTTAAATTTTGTTTTGTATTTGTTTGGGTATTGTAACTGTGTGTTTACAAATGGCAACTAGAATCTCTTTTGACGTTCTTAAAAAGGAAATATATAACCTGAAGAGATCTAGAGCTTTCTAGGATTAGGGTTCTCTTCTTGGAAATGCCAAGTACAGTTTCTTGGCAGTCCCTTCTTCTCATATTTTTTTTTTTATAAAACAGTAGCTAAACTACCTTTCTGATATGCGTCTGAGGGAGATTTTGTTGTGGAAGAGACCATGGCTGACTAAAGCAATACTGAAGCCTCTGAATCTCACTTCAGTTCCTACATCCTTTGCTTCTTTTAGTCCAAGTTATTGGATGATGATATGATTTAACATGCAGAATTGTCCTTTCCTGTCATATTAGAATTTCTTATTTGTAAATTGGGAGGTTGAATTCATAATAGTTACATAATTAATAAGCACTTGTTAGCATTTATTTTCTGGAGGAAAAAAAGTGCAGAAATGAAAATGTAATAGTGTGTTCAATGAATGTAGCTGAGAAGCAGGCAGGAACTGAGTTAAGTCCCTAGAGGTCTGGTGTAGCCATGCGTATTTTCCTACTGCATGCTTTTTTTGTAGATAATACTAATTTTAATAATGGCTTCAATTTTTTTTTTTTTTTTTTTTTTTTACTTTAATAATGTGACTATAGACAGCTACTGCAATAGATTGTTCTCCATTTGGCCATTAAAATTAATAGGAAATTGGACTTTGGGCTTCAGTAAATTTAGCCCAAGCCCTAGATTCCTTTGTGTATTTTTTTTTCTCTCTCTTTGAAGTCTTTCAGAAATTATTACTGTTGGTTAGGGGAAAGCCGCAGGGAGCAGTGAAAGGATCTCTTCAACACCAACGTTCAGTACTTAACAAAAGTCAGTTGGAAGCAGCCAATTTATTGAGAGGGTCTCATTTAAATGTTACAGTATTTTATATGATACTCCTTTTAATATGATATGATGTTCCTTTTAAATATTTTTAGTATTCTACAACATATATCTTTATTCTTATAGTGCAAGTTTAGATCTCACATGGAATGATACAGTTGTGTAGTAGTAGAAGCAGTAATTCTTGATGCTTCCAGTAACCCGTTTGAAACTCCAAAAACATCTGTATTCTGTCAATTAGTGCCACAAAAGCCATCAATGGGCTCATTGTTTCTCCAGTAGAAGACAACGAATCAAGCATTTCAACCTGCGGTCATTCCAGTAATAACCTGAATTTGTGAAGAAAGTATAATGCAATTGTGGATTAGCAAAAATGTCATGAACTTTTGTTTTGGCACTATGAATTATGTTTAATGGATCTTGCTGTGAACCCAGAAGATCAAGACCTGGAAGAATAGACCTTAATTTTAAAAATATATCGAAGGCTGAAATTATCATTTTTTAAATCCGCTGTTAGCAAAAGCAGACCAGCTGAAGAATAATTTCTTTCCTTTAGAGTCACAGCACATTCTCTTTGCCATTCCCTATTTGTGTTACCTCTGGGTTTATATAAAATAATCCAGTACTTAAAAGAAGCAAACTTTAACTTKTAACTGCATGGGATAGATTGCTGATACACAATTAGCTGGTGGTAATGTGTTTTTTGTAGCTCTGCAAATACTGCAGCAATTCTGACCTGAATTCCTCGGTTGGTAACCTTGCACTTTTCTATTTGAAAAGGGAGTATCTTCATCTGAAGATGTTCCAGCAGATACTGCCGGTGATGCACCAAGTGAAACTCAGTTTGCAGAGGAACAAACACCTGAGGATGCATCTGAATCAAGTGCTAAGGGAGTGCCAGGAGCTAAAAAGGATGTTCCTCCTTCAAAAGCCATCAGTGATGGTAAACTGGTGAAAGGTACGTTGGCATAATTTGTTGGACTCTAAAATATCTGTGGGAATGAACTTTAAAAAAATGTAGGAAAAGGAATTTGCAGCATGTGGAGAAAATATTTTACATAGAAGCATCAAAAAAGGACCAAAATAATTTGATTGCATTCATGTTTCTTATTTTTGTATCGGCTCCTATCAAGTGCTGGCTGTCTGACAGATTAATTGCTGTATTTCAGTTTTGCACAAAGCTGAGGGCTGTCATCATTGATCTTAATAGGGTTTTATTTGTCATTAAGCCATTTAAAAGCTGACTATTAAAAGTTGCCTATAAGAAAGAAGGTATTTTTTCTGTATAAAAGCTGTAATCTTACTGAGTCTATACATGAGGAGGAAGTAGACTAGGCATATTTCTTAATTTCTCCATCTTCCCATTTTGGAAGCTGGGCTAGAAAAAAAAGAAATCCTTCTCTCTAAGTAGAATGTTTTTCTTCTAACAGTCTTAGCAGCAACCCAGGTTGTGCTTTCTTTAATTAAAAAAATGCAACTCATATCCTATAGATTATGTAATGTAACCAAAGACTTGTTTCATGTCAACCCTATGTCTTTAAGCTTATATTTCAATTTCATCTCTAATGTGGTACAAATTGCGTTTTCTTGTAGACAAAATACAGGAGTTGGCTGTAGACCCAACTTAACATCTGTGCAAGATTTCTTTTTTTCCTTCCTCTAAAAACTTAAAAACCTCATTTGTGATTTGTTTGACCACATGAGAAAGTTGGGAAGCCACTGTTGTTGTTTGTTACCTTGTAATTCTTCAGTTCTTCCTTATTTTTAAGCCTATTTTCTAACCCCAGGATTAGAACATGCAAAGCTTATTTTTCAGAAACCTTGGTATGTAAATCAATTTTACTTAGATTTCCCTAATTGAAATCCTAGAGGATGCATATGCAAAAGGCATTCTGAGAAGGAAAAAAAAGATGCAGCAAACCATATGCCAGTAGATTACTATTGCTTGAGATGTGTGAGCAGTTCAATCCTTTTGTTCTTTAAAGTTGTCTTTAAATAAATAGCTAACAGATTAATTCTGTATTTTCCGGTAACTGCTTTCAAACTATTTCATGGGAATTTCTTTGAGGGGAGAAAGGATTAGTTCAGATTTAATCATAGCTAATACATTACTACATTTATTATTTTTGGAAGATCCGCTAGTAAAAACAAGCTCGAAATGATCTGCTGCCTTGAAATTTCCTTTTTACTGTGGCATTTTGTTCTCTCTATACAGGCAGTTTTCTTCCTTTGAATGTGCTGGGCTGAGTGTGCGGTGTCTTTTTTTGTTTGGGAGGAGAACAGCGGCTGCTTGAAAGGAATAGGTGACCACCAATCTTACCACAGCAAGATCAGCTAAGAATAGGGAAAACTGCTTAGCTTTTGCATTTAGTGCTCCTATAATGAAATGCTGTTAATTCCCCAAAGTAATTAATTTTCATATAGATGGAAATAAGTCTTTAAGCACTGCTGCGTGAACCTGACAAATGCTGTCATTTTACAAACCATCAGATTTAGTGTAAAGGAAATATAGGCAAGTGCATCCAACAGGGTTTCTCAGAAAGCAACCTTGGCTGTGTGCTCAGTGATGAGAAACTGGGAAAATAGTTTCAAGAAGAAAGAAGTAACCATGGGGAGTAAATACTGAAGTATATTTTAGGATTCTCTTTTTCCTTTTGGCCTGACATACTTTATCTCTGTGATAATAGAAAATGTTAAGGCATCATTCAATACGAGGATATGTGTATTAAGATTTATTGTAGAGGTAATGCAGAGCAATGGCAATATGATGAAAATGTGTGATACAATTAAGTATGCAAAAGTATTGTCAACTATTTTCTGCTTCATATGTATTTATGAAATATTTTATCCTAAACTGCAGCTTTTCTGGTTTCATACTTTAATCCAAAGAATTTGGGCAGTGGGGGAAATCTTAACTAATTATGAGTAAATGGAGAAACATTTTAACAAATGTATAGTTGTTTCTAAAAAAGAACTTTTATCTAAAACATAGTGTTTTAAAATTTGTGGCCAGCATTCCATTTTCCTTCTCCCATCTAGTAATTTGGTATAACTAGGGACTTACGTATCCTCCTTGGTTGCACAATGAAATTTAGAAATTTTACAGTAGTAGTTTTCTGATTATTTTAATCATACTGCTTTAAAAAAAAGAAAGTGACAGAGTARGTGCAGGTATTTACATATCCACAAGTTAAATTACTTCAGCTTTCTTAGATGAGTTCAGAAATTCAAATATGGTAGATATGGGTCCTAAACTTGAAGGAGTAGACCGCTCATTTATTTGGGAAAGAATATTAATTCTTTATATTTAACTTCAGGAAAGTGTAATTCCTGGGATGATTCAGAGTACCTTTCTTTCCTGCTCCTACTGAAGTATTAGAAGAGATTGTAAAGAGTATTTCCTGTCAAGAAAAAGCAAGGGGGGGGGAGGGGGAACTATTTTAGTCCTGTCCTTTTCCCTTGAGTAATTTGTGTTATGTTAAGGTGACTCAAATTTTCCTTTTTTTTTTTTTTTTTTCTTTCTTCACGCCTTATCTTTTCACGGAGTAGTCTTCATGAGTAATGGATAAAATAAAAAGAAAAAAAGAGTCAACCTGCTTTCTGCTGTTGCCTAATGATGTGTAAAATCTTACCCTTCATTCACAGCATCATTTGCTCCAATAAGCTTTGCAATCAAGGCCAAAGAAAATGACCTTCTTCCCTTGGAGAAAAACCGCGTTAAATTAGATGATGACAGTGATGAGGAGGAGGAAGAGGGCAAGGAAGGCCAAGAGAATGCTGCTGCTGCTACTACTACTACTACTACTATTACTACTAGTTCTACTACTACAAACCATACTCCAGCTGTTCCCACTCCTTGTACTGTTACTGAAGAGAAAAAACCTCAACTTACACAGGAGGAGTTGGAAGCTAAACAAGGTATCCGGTGTTACATTGAAAGCAAAATGAAACATTGAGTCCTTCAGGCAAAGAGCAGAATTGTTGCATGAAGAAGTATTGAATCTTCACCTTGTTGTTTTAACAGGAATCCCCTACAGGCTGCCCACCCCCAGCAGCCTTTCTTCCTTATTTTTAACAATGCAGTTTTCATTGCTTGCTCAGCTAAAGTCAACCTGGATTTGAGTGCTTTCCCATAATGTATGGTCTTTGTTTTCTTGTTTTGATTACAGCCTCTGAGTAGACACTCGATTTCTAGTTTCCAGATGGCATTAACACAGTCCAGAAAAAAGCATGCCCATTTCTTTTCTTCCTTCACAGAATAATGAAACGCTTTGAGCTATTTTTTCAGCTATGTAGCCTGCCTGTATGGACTAATATCAACTTTTCTATTTTTATGTTYTGTTCTTGTTACAATACAGTGCTTTTAAGTCTTCGTATGTATTTTTTTTCACTGTGCTTATGTGTGTAAGGGCAGAAGGGTATGTTGAATGAAGTTTTCTTTAAAAGTTATCAAATCTCTCCTTTTGCCCCCAAGACAGCTTCCTTTTTAAAATAATGTAGTCTATATTAATTCTTGARGTTGACTTCCAGAGCTGTGTGTAAATTACTGTAGGATCAGATTGACAGCTGTGAGGATAAAAGATTTTGTGTGGTGCCTAAAACAGTGGGATGCTTTCTGATGCTCTCAGTACAATTCAGAGATATTAGGCTAATAAAACCTAACAACAGAAATGCAGTAGCTATAGCTAAGACTTTCATGTAAGTTCCTTTAAACTTAAAAAAATTTATTTACCATTTAATGCTTATCATCAAACGAATGCTATATCTGTAAATTAARATGCTTGAAATTTTGTAACTTCAAGCTATTATGTCCTTGTTCTGTCTTTAGATGTAATGGAAGAATTTGTGGGCATTTAGGGGCAAGGGTGTTTTTAAGGAAACTGAGRTTGTGAGCTTTATGTTTGTGTCTCAGCAAAACAGAAGCTAGAGGATAGACTTGCTGCWGCAGCAAGAGAGAAGCTTGCCCAAGCCTCCAAAGAATCAAAAGAAAAGCAGTTGCAAGCCGAGCGCAAAAGGAAAGCTGCATTGTTCTTGCAGACCCTGAAAAATCCTCTGGCAGAAGCAGAAGTTGAGAAGATTGAAGAGAATTCCTTCAGTGTTGAGGTAAGCAAGAAATAGGTTTGTCTTGACCATAAAGCTAACAGTAAACTTATCTACAGAATGTGAATCTRAGAATATTTTTATGAAGTTGACTGAAGAGAGGGAAGATTTCRCAAATGGAGAGAAACTTGAATTTAGAACTCTGTTCATCTTTTTCAGTTATCTTGGGTATTTCTAACAGTTAAGGATTTGGCAGAGAAATACGGTGCATAATACAGTGGTCTGCTATGGAACACAAAACAAGTAAAACAGTTTTATGTTTAGTTCAAGACAGATAGTGGAACTGCTCATAATGTTTGACTGTTTGGACTGCTTTTTCCAAAAGAAATGAAGAGTTAGGTTCCCGTCATTGTATACTGGATTATTAACACTTACCACAAAGAAGGAAAAGGATTTATTATGCTGAAGTAACTTGTAATCAGTTAGCTAGATAGCTATTGCCAGTCAGTCTGTTGATCAGTGGTTATAATTACAAGATCTCTTTGGCTAGAGCCTCTTGAAATCTTCATTGTAAGACTAGAAAAATGTGAGTAGGTAACCTTAAAGAGGGATCTTAGGGTTAGTCCTGGTAAAAGTTTTAAGAGTTCAGCTGGGATAGAAATAGTGAGCAGTCACAAAAGCCAGTGGGGTGGTAATGTGCGAGTTAAGCATCTCTTCAGAATATTCTTGCTATAATGAAGTGATGAATGACATCTATGCAAGAAATTAATCTCAAAAGTACAAGCTACATAAAAATTCAGACCACAAGTTTGTGTTCTACAGCAGTGCAAACACAGCTACAGTCAAGTTCTGAGCTTCCTCTGTGACAGAGAAAGAAGTGTTCAACTATGCACTTAATCACTGTTAGAACACACTCCAGAAGTAGTGAAATGCTTCTCCAGTCCTCTTACTCCAGTGAATGGTTTATTTCAACAGTATGCTTGTGATTTTTATTGATATTTTCAAGACCACTATAAACAGATTGAGAGATGATGTTCCTGGAGTTAGTCATTTCCAGCTTGTTGAAATCTGGAAGAGGTAGAAATCATACAAATGCTGAATTCTGTTTCTCCCATTTTTAATTGGTGAAGACATTTATTTGCTAGGAATGCTCTTTGCAATTTGTTGAAGTACAAACCTGGAAAACTTATATTGATCAAAGCCATGGGTTTGCTCTTTTTGTACAGAGATAGCTGTCGGCAGTAGCTAAAGAACAATGCATTTCACACACACAAGTTTTTTATTTCAACAGAATAACTACAATCCTTAAAGCTTAAATGAGGGATTTGCATTTATTATGTATGCCTCTAAAATCCTTCTAGTATTGATCCATTCATACATCATAGCTCAGTACTGAAGCTTTTCAGAAGGTTTTGGCAACAGAGCTGCATTCTCTGTCCAAGAGTCGCTTTCAATTTTATGTTGTCTTATTTTCCATTAAGTTTCTCGTTACTTCACTTTTTCCCTGTCCATGGAGGAGAATAACTTAATTTAATGGTGTGGGTTTGTTTGTTTGTTTTGCATTTTGCTGTTTTTGACTTTTTTTTTTTAACCTCCCTTTTTCTTCTAGGTAGTCTCTCTCTTTCTGCAGTATAGTGCATGACCTAGATTATGAAATGATAGTTTAACTTCCAGGAGCATCACTTCTTTTCTTCAGCCTAAGCATCTTTTTATCATAAATATATGCCCATCCGGAATAATTTTATATATGCTTGCTGAAAAGTTAGTGATGGGAGTTTTCTGAATTTTCAGCACCTGCACTAGCACCTCCAACAAGTCTAGACAATCTGTATTCTTAGTGGAAGAAAAACTCTGTCAAAATCAATTTTCAACAAAGTCACCTTAGACTTGCGTCTTCACTGCAGTAGCTGTAAACAGCAGGTGGGCAAAGCAGGGATTTGGCGTGGATACTGTAAGGTTTACTGAAACCTAGGCATATTCACAGGGCCTGAAATTCATAAACCATTGGGTTTTGATGCTGGATCCCACACAAGCCATGTGAAATTTTCTGCTTGTGTTTGTATGTGCTGCAGACAGGTCCACCTGTGCGTGCTGCAAACAGGTATCTTTGGGAAGCAGAATCAGTTTGCTAGTTCTAGGAATACATAACTCCCAGAAAAGCCAGCACATTGTTTTCTGTTCCACTGATCAAACTAACTTTCCTCTTTAACCTCTGGCTGGAGATCAGAAATACTGATGATTGAAATAACTTTTGACTAACAGTTGTCACTTTTTCAATGAGTTTAATGAGAGTTTTGAAGCAGCCACATTCACCACTTCTTACTGGTGGAAACACTGTCTTGATAAATGATTTTATTTAGCATTTCAAATATATATTCAAATGTCACTGATGTGACCTTTCTTTTTGAAATAAGACTGACATTTATGTTGTAAATATGGGAATACTAGTACTGTGTGAATGCATAGCYTAAAAGGCCATGGTATCTTGGGAAACAAAATATTTCTCCTACTATGCTCTCTCATTTCTATTACCACTTTTGCTCTCTCTATATACATGTATATATTTGTTTTGATTTTAGTTTAGTTCAAAATATGAATGTGTTTTAAACTGATGTCTTTGTTTAGTGAGTAACCAGTTTTGATTTGCCTTATTTTAAAGTTCTGCTGTCTACATACGTTTTGATATGTAGCCGGTCTACCGTAAAACTCTTCTTCTGCTTATGGTTTGTCTCTTCATAAGAGACTATTTGGTTCATGATTTTTTCATAAAAAAGGTAAATGAAAGAATATGTGGTTTTGTTAACCTCTGTTGTGTGTACAGTCGGGTTCACCTAACCCCATTTGTACATAAATGCAGATTGTGGGCTCAGATTTTTGTATGGTTGCTTTAGTTGTTGATTCTGCTCATGTTTTTATAACAGATCTTGAAAACTTATTGTACCAGGTCTGTTTATTCTGAAGTTAGGTGGCTCGATAAATCTGATATATTAAAAAGTATTTATCTATTTTTATTACCCAGACTAGAGGTCTGTATGCAATCAGTTTGACAACGAGTTGGTATCAGAATGCTGGAAGCAAGAACTACATCCACTGATGAAAAACTAGTTAGGCAGTTTTGCCAGTGGAATTAATTAGGGATATTCCACAAAATGAAGAAAAAAAATAATAATTATTTTTAAACGTCCACCAAAAATGTCATCTAGGGTATTTGGTTCCTGAGTCCAGGAAACAAAGATTGATACATAATGGTCATAAAGGACACGTTGTGCAATGCTTTTTGTTGTTTCAAATCTGTCTCAGAAATTGGAATAGTAACTGAAATGTATAATAAAGCATGAAAAGGAGTTGAAAATTTCAAYGGGAGGTGTGTAATTCCCGTGAGATTGCTTTTGCCTAATAACTGTAAAAACTAGTAATGCTATTTATGTGTGTATACACAGCCTGCGTTTTGCTGAAGGCTTATCGCACTCTGTAGAAATGCATTAGTAGAGCAAGGCTTTTCTGACCTCTGTCAGTTTTTCATGATACCAAATGTTTCTTTAAAAAAATGCTGTTACTATGTATTTCACCTTTGAAAAAAATTTATTCTATTAACTGTATGTGAAGGACAGTTGATACTATAGACTATATTGCTTTTATTCTTTTCACTTTTGTGTTGATCATAAAAATAGGCAAATCTGCTTTCTCTATAGCAGTTTTTTTGAAACAGTTTTCTGGGTTTTTTTTCCTTTTTTTTTTCCCCCTTAAAAAGTAAGTTCTTTTTCTTAAAGTAAAATCGAGCTTGAGCAACAAAGCAGCACAGCTTTTCAGGAGGGGTTTTTYACAATACTGGCATTCATTACAACAGCAGTTACACATCAGACCAGTGTTTGAAAAATGTTTTGAGTTTAGTTGTAGTGACCAAGGGCTCAGCCTCCCAAAGGGAAATCAGCKTCCAGTAACGTTGTAATCAACTTTAAGTAACGTTGTAATCAGCCTTAAGTAACGTTGTGTCTAATCAAGTCCCTGCCCTTTTTGAGGACTTGGAGATAACAGTGTAGCATTTTCTGTGTGGTGTTTCCATACGTAATTCACATAGGCACTTCTATAGCAAGCTAACCAACACATCTTGTAGTTGTAGTGAGTCCTTCATCATCAAGCACTTGGGTCACTGGCTTATGACAGGGAACGACAACTAGATTTAAGGATGCGAAGGGTAAATATTCAGGATTGGGGTACTGATTTGGAGTACTGAATTGAAGAGCTTTTTTATAAACAAGCAATTTTCTTCTAAACTATTTCATAATCTGAAATTCAAACTGGATTCCAAAAGACTTTGAACCAAAACTTTTAAGTAGGGGAGATTTCATGTTAAGATAGGACTGTGGGGCAAGGTTTGGTTGGTTGCTTTTGTTTCTCTCACACTTTTTCTCTTACATGGTTTACAATGTAAGAAACAATCTTACATTGTTTGTCTGACTCTACACTTGTAYAAGATACATACAAGCTATACTGACCACCTTTTTCTGGGTTTAAAATGATGTTTGACTACTCAAATGCTAGCTAAAAGCTGTGAGGCTTCCCCGCTCGGTTAATGTGAACAAAATTGTTCTTAAATGTATCTGGGAACAAGAGGTAGAAGGAACAGGATATGGGGCCAGTGCTTCTCCAGCCCTTTGCAGCCAAGCCTCGTGGGAGGACAATTGCAAGGTTGGGTGTCTTCCTTGTGAACAACTGTGTCAATTTTTAATGAACAGCATTTGGTAACTGTAGCAGATTATAGATATCTTGTGGGATGGAAATCCTAACCTGCTAAATCATCACTCAATACAAAAAGGTTTAGTAAATGTGTGTAGTTGAAGTCCAGTCACTGTTGTCCCTGCCAAAGGAAGGCCTATGGAGGCCTATTCAAAGAGAGTGGTATTAAGTGACCATTAAATTTAAGTGATGTAGTGTCTCCTAGAATCTACTGGTACAGGAAATACCTGGCAAGGTAGGAGAAGGGGCTAACACTAGTGGYTGGCAAGAGAAGGCTTCACATATTCCCTGGAGTCCAGTTTGACTTCAAAGCAGTTGATGTAATGACAACTGGTTTGCATTTGTAGTACGGAATATTTTTGTATGAGCCATAATTTGCCTAATAATGTATTATCTGGATTTGTAATACAGGCTATTCTGCTAATCTCTCATATAGTATGAGTTCTTTGATCTGCATGTAAAACACGGTTAGTTTTACTCGAACTCTAACTATAGTTTTACTCGAACTATATAACTCTTACCATCCAATTTCTTACCAAGGAGAAAATTTGCAATTGCAGTGCYTTCCAAATTGAAAATTGGAAGTAGTTTTGTTTTAATGACATGTCCTAAATGTCATCTACCTTTTTGCCTTTCAATATAAAGATTCTATAGCACAAGGCAATGCTTCTTTTGCCTCTTTCATCCTTTCACTTCTGAAGATCTGTTTTTGTTCTTTGTCAAATGATTTGTCCTTATATTTGTCCTGTGTATAACAATATTCTTTTTTTTTCTGCGAAGGATAGTGTGTTTACAAGTGAAATAGAAATTTCATAGTGCAAGTTTAAAAATAAGACGCTATTCAAGTTTTGCCAAGCATAAGAGGGTTATCAACTAGTACAGATCACGTGCATCTTTGATACTCGCTGCTCTAGTTGACCCTGTTTTCTGTAGCAATGGAACATTGTGCATCTACAAAAACGATAAATGTGTGCAAGTTGTATAAATATATAAAAGACCAATGTATGTCTTTTTTTTTTTTTTTTTCCCCTCCTGCATTCTCACCTTTGTTTCTGGTTCCCTCTATCTTACTTTGCCTGGTTCAGCTTTCCCTAGTGAAAACACAGGCCGATAACAGCTTCCTTTTGTTGTCACACTCTAAGACAGCACATTCTTTTAAAGGCTTTTGTTCAGCAGCATTAATTACACGCCTAGAAACTTTTCTGTGTGGCCTTGCAACCTGGTGGCTTTAAGTTCTTCCACGTAGTTCTGCAGCCCGCGTGGGTCGGGTTTCAGCCCCTTTTGCTGGCGATGTTTTTGTCCGGGAAGTGGAGCTGGTGCAGAGGGATTCACCACTTTCCTGCACTGCTGATCTTGCCGCTGTGACCTGACAGCTGGAATCTCGGCTCCCCGTCTCCCTGGTGCGCTGTGCGGATTCGGTTCAGTAGGTGATTTCTTTATCTGTGTTAGCTGTCACCTCGTGCTCCGGGACCTGCGTGCTCACCGAGGGGACAAGTCCCTTCTGCACGGCTTCCGCTGCAGCTCCGCCAGCGTGACTCAGCAGCACCCTGCAGCGGTTCTGCCTGAGCAGGAGGGAGCCACGACTGCACTTAAGGCAGATGAGCAAAACGGCTCCGTTCGTCTTCGTGTGAACCTCCCAAAAGTCATGGAGAGCCCAGGCGTTCCACCTTTCCCTATCCACAGGAATGCTGAACGTTTGGGGCTGTCCACTGATTGCTGAAAGCATCCCAATGTTTGTGCAGAAAGTACCATCATCTTCAGTTTATTAACTTCCTTTCTGGCACTGGTGTCATCGCTTGTATTTCATGCAGCTAAATGAACTTGGGCGCTGAGAACTATTGTTTCTTACTTGTGCCTCTTGTTTTCCCTCTTAACTCTACTTTGCCTACAGCTGTTTCCTTTCAAGCTAGGAGAGCCTGCTACTTCAAGGCAAACCAATGTGTTACATATTCAGTGATGTTCAAAGGGAAGACTAAGGTACTGTATAAAGAGATGAATAACACTGYCAAGGAACAGAAGTAGGCTGCAGTGGTCTCTTAGGATACCTTGGAGTTTGGAGATGAAGTGTCTGGAATGATATGTGGATTGTGAAGTTAGCGGAATTGGAAATGGGCTTCTAGTAAAGCAGTTATCTTGAAATAGGAGGGGCCTTTACGTTTAGCTCTGGTGATTGTGCTGTGAAATGTTTGAAATTCTTGAAGCAAACGAGTTTAGTATAGCTTCGTTGCTAGTTCTATAAATATTGTAATAGCCATTATCAGTTAAAGCTCGGAAAGAATCGTGGCTGTTTAATACTAGAAGGAAAACCCATTTCCAGTTATTCAGATGTGGCCAACTCTATKGCCCTGACACATTCACAGTAGGGGAAGAATAGAGAGAAAAGATCACCAATTTCTAATTTGTTTTTTTCACATTTTAATGGATTAGTTTCTGTTCTGTTCACTTTAAGCATCCTTCTATTAAATGGGGAAAGTGTCAGACCAGGCAGAGGGGAAATTCTGACAGAAGGAAACTGATCTCTCCAGTTGCCTTGAAATGGCAGCTCGGGGAGTGACAGAATTTGAAATGAGGAGCATATCTATAGTGGCTGAGTTGAGTTGTTCTAAACAAGGCGTTCAGTAAAATTCTCTCAAGTGCAAACTGATAATATGAGAATTTATTGGAGTATCGCTTTGCTTAATTAACTGTAGTCAGTTATTTACTGGATGAATTGAGCAACAGCTTAATTTGTCTTTAATAATACTTAGTGATCTTTCCATCTCTTAGCATGCAAAATACTTAATGATCTTTCCATGTCTTTACATGCAAAATATTTTACTGAGCTTACAAGTACTTTGTATCAACTTTATTATATTTCATAGTTGTATGTGTGTTTCTGTCTGTCATTGTAATTGAAGTAGCACCATCAGGGCTTTAGAACTTAGTTGAATGTCAGTAGTTCCCAATTTTATTTTCAACTTTATCCCTTTTTAAATAGAAATGATACATAGAAGAACAGTTGTCTGGTAGTGCCCACTTTTTAGAATGCATTTCTTTATCAAAATGAGGGGAGAAAAAAAAAATTTCAGAATTGTGTTCTAATTAAGCTGACAGTTTCTGCCATGTGTATGTTAACTTGCATGTGTAGCACTGAGGGACTGTGTAGGCCTCCTAAATGCATCCAGATACATACTTTAAGATGTCAGCCTTTATAATATTAGTATACAATATTAGTGTATAATAATATATATTATTATTATATATGTATAATATTAAGGCAGCACTGTAAGGATTTATGGAAAGTTATTGATTTATCAAATATTTTCTTAAGATTGACATATTTCGCATGTACTTTAATGAGTCAGAAATGTAGAATGAGTGTTTAAATATTATTTTCCACAGTGTTTCACTTGTTACACAGCGTTTCTACCAAAGCAATGCATAGTATAGCTGGAAAGACTACTGAGCAAGATATCTAAGTTTCTCTGCCAGAAGAAGTGTGCACTTACGTAGCATGCACAGGAGTAGAAGTTTAGCCCTCCAATTAGTGTAAAGAGCTAGAGATCTTTGTGTTATTTGTACATGTAAGACTTTCTCAGGTTGAAAATCATTATGCATCTTTCAAAATTGAATATTGTTTTGTTTTTTATTTACCTTTATTTGCAGAGCGTCAGTAGTTTACCRTGTCCCGTCACTGCAGTAAGAACTTTACCGACTTTAGACGTTAAACAAGCAGAAAGGCCTTCCAGCAGAAGCAAAGATCCTCCTAGGGATGAAGAAAAGGAGAAGAAAAGAAAGAAACATAAGAAAAGATCTCGGACAAGATCTCGATCACCTTCTAAATATCATTCATCATCTAAGTCCAGATCTAGATCACATTCAAAAGCAAAGCATTCACTTCCCACTGCCTATAGAACTGTAAGACATTCAAGGTGGGTTTGGAAGTCAAATGTGTTCTTTGGAGTTCTGTATGGGCTGCTGCTTAACACATTTCTGCACTTCTTTTTGTTCTGTAAGCTTCCTCATAACCATTACAAAGGATATTGTCACCTTTAGAATGGTGAATAAATAATGATCAGATGTAAAAATCTTTTAAAATGTCTTTAACAAAGCTATCGTCAGTTTCTAATTAACAATACAAAATTTGCATCAGGAAATATTCTTTGAGTCTTGTCRGTAACATACATCATGGTATTCTATGTGGGAAGTGTGATTATAATAGGAAGAGAGTTGCTAAGAAGTCTGTGGCTGCTGCTGGAATAAAGTAACCTGATAATAACTCTATATTTAATCATTAAGGATATTAATTATATTAATTCTCTGATTATAAGATTATATAATATATATTCAGTTGTTAATACTGTGAATAACATCTAAGATTTATGTTTCAGTACATTTAATATTTATTGTCAGCAAAGCTTTCAATATTTYGAAGCCCAAGCACAGCTGGCACTTGCTGTGGTCAGTAGGAAGGGCATGTTCTTTGAGTAGGGTTTTCTGTATCAGACTATGTATCAGACTACCTGAGCGGTGTTCAGGCACCTTGTGATTCAAATGCTTTGTGCATTTACATGCTACTGCCTTTATCTAATGCATTTAAAATTGCATATTCCTTTCATTTAATATTTGTGGCCCAATCTATGACCCTAAATGCTTTTTCCTGAGAAAAGCAGGCTCTCRGGTATGTTTCAAATTTTTTGTACCCCTTTCAGCAATGTGCCAAAACTTCTGGTCTCTCATTTGCTCTGATCATTTTTTATTTGTTTGTTTAGCAAAGCATCTAAAACTGATACTACTAAGTGTTAATGATGTTGAACTTGTTCTTTTAAATTACATTTTTAGGTGAACTAACATCTTTGCTGCAGATATTTTTGCTATTCAGAGATGCAAGAAGTTAAACAAAAACTTGGTGCAGAGGGCTAACGATCAGTCTGACATGCTGCTTGTTTGACAGTGTTTGACCTTGATGACCTTTATCATCCATATATTTTAGGACACATTCCAAATTACTGTGTGTCATTCCTTTTTTGTGCATTCCAGTGTGAAAAGGGGATGATGCTGCATGAAGCTTTCTATGGTTAACAAATGAATACAAGTCTTTTAGAGCTGAGGAGATTTTAGAAAAGTCTCTCAGATGAATTACTCATCAGTTTGCTGTCTCACCATGTCTTCACTCAAAGCTACCATGGCAGTCCATCTAAGCTATGTTATATGTATTTGCCCACTGTTTTAGTGGTTAAATCAAGGACGAATATCACGGTAATGATGGCAGAATTAAATTGTCCTCCTTGGTACCTTCAAAAAGGTAAAGAATCAGTTGAGAAGATCCTTTCTAGTGCTGGGGTATGCAGCAAAATCTGATAGCAACAAAGCTGCATCTGACGTGAGCTTGTGTGTGGTGCTGAGAACTTGCAAGTCCTGTTTGGGGTGTACTAGGATGTGTCTTCACTGACTTCAGCATGATCAGGAGATGCCTGGGCCTTTATAGAAGTTTGAATTCATTCAACTGGTCTACATTTGGTTCTGCTGATGCCATGTTGAATGTGTCTACAAGCACAAATCAAGTAACAKATGTGCATTAACCTTAGCATAATGAATGAACACCTGATGAAATCTGGTTGGATATTTTCTTGATATCAGCTGTTGAATCCTACACCCCGATTGAACAGTCCAAAAGACGATGCTGGCTAGGTGAAGCTTGCAATTGTATGACAAAATTTCAGAATGTTTTGCACAAGATCTTAAAACTTCACCCAACTTAGAGCTGGATGGAAGCTTTTCTACCAGGTTAAGCTCAGGTTTCTTGAGGGTCTATTCAGTTCAGTCCAGAAACCTGTTTGTTCTGAGACTTAGCAGCAGTATCATTAATGCTCCCTGGCTGCCAATTCCCTTCGAATTTTTTTGCAAACCATGTAAAGCACTTGCAACAGCCACTACAACAGGTAGGAGACCTGTTAGAAATCTGAATGACTTTCCATCTACAGCATTTCAAAAAATGATGGCTATACCTAAACCTTCTACCCACTGTCCTCTTGTAGCTCAACATTTATTAATGTTCTTTCCCTGAATCTTCTACTTAATATAGTGACAGTGTTGGTTTACCTTAATAGAACTATGTTACACTTAACTTTTCTCATTATTATTATTTGAGAGTAAACAGCAAGCYGATGGAAAAATAAATAGAACTTGAAATAAATTTTATAACTTGAAAGAAAGAAAAAAAAAAAGTAAAAGACAAGCAGGTCTTAGGCCTTAGGCTGGATCAGTCAAATATTGTCAGGTGGAAGACAAGTTCCACAGTTGCAAAGAAGGTGGTTTTACCACTGTCTAAACAGGAGCAGTATCTGTAAGAYGGGAAGCAAATTTGTGGTTGCTCTGTATGGCAATAATGAGGCCTTAACTAGAGTGAATCCTTAAGAATTATGTATACGAGTTAGGGGAGCTTAGAGCATATTTGTAAACATTATTTGAGCTGACAAAAAGATGAAAGAATTGGAACTGTGGCTGTCTGGGAAGAATGAAGGAAGGTGACATGAATCTTCATGTATGCCAGGAAAGGGGGAAGACTCTGCTTCATTTGAATGTCTCTGATGTTATGTGGTGTAGCTGGTATTCTCTTATCTACAAAATGTGTGTTCTAACCTCCAAATCTCAGTATAGATCAATTATTGATGTTTTTACTTATCTTCTTGAGTGAACTGAAAAAACAAAAGCTATAATTTTCTCTTTCTTCAGTATTTATTGCTATGGAACCCGTTAATGAAGTAACTTGGAATAACAAGATCTTTTCCTTAATAAGCAGATTTTCGTTTTCTACTAGATTTGAAATATCTGCACAATTAAAGTACTGTATTTCAGATTTTAAACTGTTTCAACTATTACACTTAACAGTGACTAGCAGAAGAGGAGCTATGCATATTTCATAACTTCTAATTAGAGAAGCTGCAGTTGCGTGTTAATAAATAATAAACTCTAAAGTGTATTAATGACCAGTCATCACGTCCTGTATTCAGGAAGCGTTCCTAACGTTCCTGAAACGTTAGATGTTGTGGGGTCTCCATATGGGCATGTGTTGAACTTCTGTTTAACGCACTCTTGATAGTCAGTAGTTAATTGTGAAAGTCGTTAAAGATGATAGATGCGAGAAGCAAAGTTAAATGTAGAACTTGCCTGTGCTGTCTTTAGGCATTTGGGGGTGTTTTTTGTAACAGTTTCTTTAGCTTATATATTTATTTTCAAAATAGATTTTGTGCTTGAAATCCTATAAGTGAATATTGYAATATACCCCTGTATATTGTTTTATGTTAGTAGTTTATCATTTGCTTTTAAATTGCTAAAGATTTACAGGCTCTGTTTCATTTAAAAATCTTTATTTTTGTGCATTTTAAAAATATATTTTCTAATGTATCTTCAGCAGTATTGAAGTTAAAAATACTGTTCTGATAGCATCAAATTGATTCAAGTTTTTTTTTTTTTTTTGATATTCCTTTTTTTAGATAGTGCAACGAAACCTACTATATAGAAACAAATTAAAATATCCTTGGGTAAGGAGCCCAGATGCATCAGTTTTATTGGGGCATATAGTCTGCCAAGAGCAGCTCCCCTATGTAAAAGCATGTTACTTTTTGTACCAAACTTAATYTCATTAAATGCTTGATATACTGTGGGTTTAATTCTGGACCATTATGACAGATCTAATCTAAACAAAAATCCTGGATAGCAGTAAGGCATGTCCAGCAGCACCATGAGGTGTTACAGCATGGCTTGCTGCGCAAGTGTTAGTCCCAAAGAGATAACTAGCAATTACAAGATAGTAATTAATGCCAAGCATGAGGCAAACCTGCTAAATGTGTCTTGAAAAACAAAGAGCCTTTGGTACCTTTTCAATCACTTGTAGTTAGTGCCTCATTGGTGCCTTTTTTCTAATTAAGTTTTAGCACCGTGACAGATTTGTATCTGCTCAGAGTGCTTTTTACAGCCGTGTAGACTGTCAGTCGCGGGTGTTGTAGCCAAGGAGTTGAGATTTCACAGTGGGTGGACAGTAAGTGTCAATAATGACCATGTTAATGTCGGTCTTCATTTCTTTGGTCAAATAGAAAGCACGTGCTGTGCGTTAATGCGGTACCGTACGCATGTGGTTGTGCGCAAGGGGAGAGGAGGGGATGCAGAGGAGCTCAGTATGTGTTATGTGATTTAGCGACTTGGTCAGATGGTATTTGGATGTTCAGTTTTAAAATAGAATAGAAGACCTATTCTATTTTCTATTATTAAATTCAGTTTGATCTTTCTTTATACTCTCAGTGAAGCAGTGCTAAGTCTTATAGATTCTTTATTTAGTTAATGAGTCACAAATGCAGTGCTTTATTAGTCGGATACTTCTTAAGCGAGGTTGGATAAAACTTAAGCATATGTGTGTGTCTGCCTCAGTTTCTGAAGTTTAAGATCCTTCAAAGTATCTGTAGCTTATAAAAGCAGGTATCTTTATTTTCTCCTTTCAAATCTGTTTCCTTACTGCTGAGGCAGTGTCTATCCATGTGGTTTCTATTCTTATGCCACAATGAGACATGCCAAGTTTTGCAGCATACTGAGCTTCTGGAACCCTACTAAGTACGAGTGATATTAACTTTATTTAAAGGAATAGAGTGTCTTATGAAATAGCAATTAGCCTCATTAACGATTGATGTATCACAGTAAAACTGCTAAGCTGTTTTTAATTGTATATGGTTAATGGCCAAATTTCTTAACATTAGTAATTGGAAGAATGTTGTAGAACCAAACGAAAATAATAATATCATCTCCACTTCATAAAAATGAAGCTAATGCATTTTTCTTTCTGATTGTTTGGACTTTTTTAGGCTGGTCCATATAGGCATGTTTCCCTAAGGTTCAGCTTTTGGTTAAGGGCCTGAGCCTTTACAGGATTCTAGTTAATTCCCAAACTAGCACATTTTATTCTGAATGTGAAGTGTGTGCCTCCGTATCACAGACTCACAGCATCCACAGGGACACTGAGCATGGAACCGAGTCTGAGCAGCTCATCAATGGCAGCAGCAACAGAGCGAGAAAATTATCAGTCAGCTTCGACAACGAAAAGATTTCACTGCTGGAGCTCTTTTGAGGGAAATCCTGGTAAAATGTCAAGGTGTCTGACTGACCCCCAACTTTATGAATCTGTTTTGTTTTGGATTTTTTTTTGTTCTTTTTTTCTTCTTTTTTTTTATCCTTCTGAAAGGCCTGGTAAAGATCAGATTTCTAAGTGAAAAAGGTGATAACTTGCAAAACTTACATGCTGTTGTGATTTATTTTATTTTCTGTAGGTCTGTCTAATTGTAGGTATAAGAGAAATGGTGCAAGTATATGTGTGTATGCYTCTTTCTAAACATGTATTTATATATATGGTGTGAGTCTGCAGTGATTCACAAATGCTTCTTTTAGTCAACGCAAATTAGGTATTTTCAAGAAGGTGAATGCTTGATGTATGTATAGTGAAGTAATACCTGTAATAAATTGGAAGGGCTTTGAAGTAAATTTCTAAAGCAAAATKATCAGAATTACATATTTCAGTGGGATCAAAATTACTGCTATCAAGAATTYGGGAGGGAYTAGGGGTTCATTTTTTCTTTTGTTTTCTTTCAAGTAGGATCTCTATCTTATGCTCTTCTCCCTCTCCTTCCCTCTGACCTTCAGGATTTTTCCCATTGCATTGATTTGGTTACTAAAATTTACTCGTGTTTTACTTGTGCATCTACTTAATTTCAAATCACAGAGGAAAAAGCATAAAGTGTTTAAACTAATGTCTGATCTTAACTGGGCATCCATTCCTTCTTTCTCTCTGTCTCTATCCCTAGAAAAAGTATTTCAAATCAGGCTGTGCTGGTCGTGGGTTGGTAGTCACTTGTACAGGTGAAAATCTTGACTACATTACAATAATTCTGCAGCATCAGGGACAAAACGTCCCGGACTTGTCAGTGTTAGAGATGCACTGGAAACAAAAATTTCTCTTGGATGCTGCAATTCTGAAAATGTGCCGCTGAGCAGAGTAACAGCGAATACTGTTGCTACAAAAAGTGACGGTCTGCACTAAAGCAAAACCTTGTGCCTGTTGATGCACAAGTTGCCATTAGCACACAGTTTCAAAGAGAACTGCTTCTTCCCTGTTGGAAGTGAAAAGCAAGGGATAGCTACATCCTAAATATATCAGATGAGTTAGAAATTCTTATGCAACTGACAAGTCTTGGGGACTAAATCCCACACTGATATCAAATAGGCATTTCACTGGTGTTATATTTGGGTTTGGTGACAGCAGAATTCCACTGAAATAGAAGTAATGAAATAAATAGCATAAGTAACAAAAAWTAAACTTTTTAATGTATTCTTTTTCCTGTTTAGGTCAAGGTCAAGGTCACCTAGGAGAAGAGCTCACACACCAGAAAGGCGGAGAGAGGAAAGGAGTGTCCCAACAGCTTATCGCATTAGTAATAGTCCTGGAAATAGTAGGAAACGCACGCGTTCCAGGTGAGTGTACCCAGTCCTGGATAATGTCATATTCCAGCCTGGGAAAGGGCTTGAAACACGTACTGCTGTTTCGCTGTTTCCTTGCTATTGCAGCAAACTTCTGCAGAAGTAAAATATCTGCAAGCTTGTGCCYGAAAGCCTTATCCTTCCACCTATATCCCTGCACAATAGCAATGTGAAAGAGAATCATTCATACCCTACATGTGCACATCCAGYGTGCATGTAGCTGAACACATGGGGGTTATTAAAGGAGGCATACAGAATTCTTCACATTGCATAAAGATTCTTCAATGTGCTTCTCCATATCTCATGTGGAATAAGAAGCAAAGAGCTCGTTTTCATGATTTTTAAGAATACTTTTTTGTTTTTTAAAGCTAACTTGAAATCTCTGTCAGCCTCTAATTGATATGTGGGGCCTAAATGAGAGCTTCAGTGTATTTTGAAGAGCTTTTGTGTTCATCAACTTGAGAATAGAAGCTTCTGTAGAATTCATCTTGCAAATCTGTTTAAGCAGAAAATATTCAGAACCTYAAAATATTTTTCCTTCTATAAAGGCAAGAATTTTTCATATGCTGGCATTATTTTTTCAGTTCAGAGTGTTGTCTGTTGCTTGACCATTCAGCAATTTAAGTCGTGAATTACTTTTTATGATCTATTGTGAAGCAAAGTCAATTCTTCTTTAAACAATGTTGTTTATATAGATAGACATTTGAAGCTTCCGCTAGACATCCAACAGAAAACAGAACAATGCACAATAAAATACAGCAGTAAATGCAAAAAAGGTCGATGGAAGAAATAGTACTGGAGTTAAACATAGATGAGGATATATTGCATCTCTGATCGCAAAAAGCCAACTGTTTTAGTACTCTTAGCAATGACTTATTAATTTTTCAAGTGAAATCTGGATGCTGTGATGGACCGTTTTTCACAATCTTCAGTTGCCGAGTGCATTTTGTACAGTGCTGTAATAGAAGMAAGCTTTGGGTTCAGGCTCTGTTATAAGCTAATTTACTTGGGCTTTCTCTGAGTGAGTAGTGTGTATTTTGCCTGAGAACTGGAAGCAAGTATGAATTTTGTGTGACAGCAATCAGCTGAGTGTTTATTAACTGTGGTTACACAAGGAAATAGGAGACCTTGAAAATCTAGTACTTTCAAAGGACTGGAAAGTACCCAAGAATTAATAAATAGTTATGCATTTATATCTAATTAATCTCCAACGCAAGTTACTGGTAATARTAACCCACCTCTTCCCTGTGAGGGTGGCTGCGCACTGGAATGGGTTGCCCAGAGAGGTTGTGGAGTGTCTATCCTTGGAGATCCTCAACAGCCAAGCAGACACTGTTCTGAGCAACCAGCTCTGGGTGACCTTGCTGGAGCAGGGGGTTGGCTCAGATGATCCCCAGAGGTCCCTTCCCAGCCCCCAACTATTCTGTGATTTTGCAGTTTTAAATCTTGAATGTTAATTTCTGTATAAAAATTAGGCTTTCATATGATAAATTCTGAGCATTGGAGTTGTGCAATATTTATATGTAAATTCACTATGTTGTAACATAGTTTAATATTGCACATATGTTCCATAGTTTGTTCATTTGTGGGCTAGAAATGTTGTAAAGGACATATGCTCATAATGCATCAACTCTCTGGTATAATTCAGGAAGGAGCTTCTCTCTTTCAAAGGTATTTTGCAAGCCTCCAATGTCTTTTCTCTGTCTTCCCTTGAACTACAAATACTGGAAAGTAATTTCTGTGTATCTATAAAGCAGTATTCAGGTAAGGAACTCAGGAACCTCAACTCAGCACAATTAGGTTGCCAAACCTAATATGACTTAAGAAAGGCTACTGAGAGAGTATTTTATGTGAACATGGAAATGTAGTTTGTGGTAAGATYCTAATACTTGCTCAGTGCATGAGAAATATGTGGAAGAGGGTTACATTTAGAGATGTCAAGAGCTTCCACCCAGCTAGTTTAATTCTACTGTATATCTCCATCAATAAATTATTTCCTTCTCACAGAAGTCCCCATGAAAAGAAGAAGAAGAGGCGCTCTAGATCACGTACCAAATCCAAAGCTAGGTCTCCTTCACCACCTGCATCACCAGGCAAACCATCCACCCACAAAAATTCTGTACATTCAACTAGTGTCTCTCCTGTGGAGAGTAGGGAATCCAGCCAGGAACGCTCCAGGTAATCCATTTTCTTACTCTAATGTGGCAGTGCTGACGTCTCTTGGCCATGCGTGTATCTTTTGTCCTARCTTGTATGGTGAGAATGTTATCTATATGTAAATATATATGTGTGTGTATGTGTGTTTGGTTTATTTAGTTTTTTTCTTTTGCTTTAAAAGTAGAAGACRCTGGTAGACAGACACTGTGTGCATCAGAGTCTAATGAAGACGTTGTATATGTTGCCTGCTGAAGTTTTTATGCAATCTAGTGAAATTTTAGGATTACATTTCAAAAATGGGGAGACTTCTAACATTACTTATGCTATACCTACTATTTTAATGGAAAAAAATGTAGAAATTTTGTCAATGTTTCCATTATCTCAGAGGTGAAACATGATTATTTAATATGGAAGACACAAGACTGTGGTTCTATTTCAAGTAAACATCCTGACATACTCCTAAAATAAAACTTGCACCGGAAGTTCTACTACTTAATTCTGAGTTAGCAATTGATAACTGTCACTAAATGTGATAACTATTTGAAGTACAATTTAAGGCAATGTCTTAAAATTATAATGTGTTTGAGGGATTGGGGATTAATTATTTCCACCAAATACATTGTGCCTGTGGAAAATCCCTAGCCTACTATTCAGATTTCTCTGTGATATCAGTTACATGAGTAATTCTTCTAGCTGTGACTAATAGTGGCTTCCAGTAGAATGAGGAGACTGTTGACTAATATATGTGTCTTGTACCATAAAGCCCCAAATTACGATGCTCAGTGGAATGAATCTTGAAACCATATACTGTGCATTTCTAATTTGGATTTTATCTCTTTTTAGGGGAGTTTCTCAGGAAAAAGATGGCCAGATCTCTTCAGCGATTGTTTCTTCAGTGCAGAGTAAAATCACTCAGGTACAAACAAATAAATCCAGAACATCTTGCCYAATTAAGTATTTCCATCATGTTATATTCTGCATTTAACATCTTGTAGAATTGTGAGCTTTGCATAAGATGTAGAGATGTGCTCATTGCCATTCTTAATCTGTTTGCTTATCAGAAAAATAAATGTTACTTCTCTAGCTGTTGTCTTTTCAAGTGTCATCAAACCTCTAAAGGTCAAACAGTTTAATGCACTGCTAAGAAAGTTCACCTTATGCAAGAACAATCTATCAGTTGCCAACAGCAGGTATTATTGAGAGCCTTTCTTACCAGGTAGTATTTCTAACTTCTTTCATGGAAGAAAGAATGAAGGAGAATCACCTTTGCAGAGGTTAGGTTTGTAAGGGCTGGCAACAGAGGAAAAATATGTTGTCTTGTAAACTAAAGCACGTATGCTTTGCCTTGAGCAGTAACTTCAAGTCGGTGATTCTACCTTTGTTGCTGTTTACATATGTGAGGTTTTGCTGCTATGATTTTGTTGATATATTCTGCGTATGCTGTGAATCACTGCATGACTACCTGTGATGAATAGTACCAAGTACCTGGCTCAGTGTGGTGTGCAGTGGACTGCATGCATTCGGCTTCCCTAAAAAAGATTACTGGTGCATTTGTATTGAATGTTCTTTCTGGCATAGCATCTGCAAGCTGGTAGTGGTCTGCTTGCTGAAAATGCAGATGTAAGAGAAGGARAGATTACTAGTGCCACTGAACTGCAAGTCAGTTTAAAATGTCCCCGACCAGCAGCTTCCAAAACGTGTTATAATATAGTTCATGTTGTACTTCTCACAAAGAGTAACTAAGAGCAAATGGGCTTTTGCTCTTTTGGAATCTGCAACATATGTCCCAATGTAGTCTAGTTTAACATCTTGTTGAAGCAGCAAAAAAATCCAATTTACCTAATTAGTAGCAAGATTGTTTTGCTGCCAGTTTGCTAGCTTACTTTGGCCAACTTCAGTATGTTTTCTCATTTGAATTCTCCCATCTATAACATGGGAATGATGATGCTGAATTCTCATGTGAAGTGTTTTGAGAGCTCCAGGTGAAATATGTTCAGTCAGAACCGGATATTTTAATTAATCTACATTGCATTTATGAAATGTTTTTAAGTAATTTGTAACTCACTACTGAGAGATATTGAGAGATATTTTTGTGGGTTTTTTTGCAGCCCAATTATCTAATGCCATTTACATGAAATTCATTTGCTGTTTTAATGCTGTTGCTACTAGATGCTCAGGCATATTTGAGAGTTGCTATTTTGTTTCACAGAGGTCTTGTGTTTCAGTTAGACCAATGTATGTGGAAATCCCACCACACTGTAAATTTTTGTTTCAGCTTTAAAATTACCTTTACATTTTAAGGTTTGACCACAGGATTTGTAAATTTTTTTTTGAGATTTGACAATCATGAGACTGAGTATCCTATGTGCCTAGAGCATAAGGTAGAGGTTTCRTGCAGGGTTTTGTTATCACAAGCTTCAGCTCTTTAAAGCCCATGCAAGTCTAATCTTTTTCCTCTTATTTTCTGCAGGATCTTATGGCCAAAGTGAGAGCAATGCTTGCAGCTTCCAAAAACATACAAACCAGTGCCTCCTGAGAGCCGTTGAACTGACCATTGAGAAATTGTGGGGAAAAAAAATACATAAAAACTGCCTCATCTCAAATGTACAGCTGAGCTTGGTTCACAACTCCCTTGTCTAATATTATCAGAACTTAAGGAGCTAAAACCTACCTTCCTGTACAGAACTGTCTCCTTGGAATTTCATTGAATTTTTTTCAGACAGAATCTCTTTGGAAAGTTTTTGGTTTTTTGTAAATTGATTTTTTTGACTAATTCTTCAGTAACATTTTATGATCAGCAGTCTATATGTGTATATTTGTAAATATCATGTTTCTGTGATAAGGTATTACACAACAATAAAGAAGGAAACGCCTTTCATTAGCTACAGAGTTCTTGGGGAGTCTTTAATTTCTGTTAAAATTTCTGTATGTTCTTAATACCTTGTCCCTTTAAAGAACCTTGTAGGTACCTGAGGGAGCAGCTTGAGCAGAGAAACACTTTTCATCTTCCTCGTGGACACAGTGATGTAAAGATGCAGGTTTGGGCATGTTAGTTGTGAACAGTTTTCTGCACAGGGCTGTAATTTTCTGTCCATTATTTAGCATGGTCTGTGAGCCTCCCTTTGAGGTGCTGACCCTATGAATTCAGTATCAAGTAGTCAGTAGCTTCTTTTCCATGTCTGTGTTTTCTTCAGTGTATTTTCTGATCATTCAGCAGACATACTTAAATTTAACATTCTTCTAAATAAGTATTTTCTTCGGAGACAGATAGTAACCAGCTTATATGAATTTCTGACAAATACCAGTTAATAGTTTTCAGAAGGCCTGTGAACTCAGTATATTTCAGGCTTATTTATTATACATTTTGGCTATTACAGTGAGATTTTAATTATTTTTTATGAAAATTATCTGAAAGGTAGCTTGAAAGCAAGTATATAAAAAAGCAATCACTGCAAATAAGATTAAAATTAAAGAATCCTCCACTGTTCTTGCAAGTAGAGCAGAATTTGTGATCTTTACTTACTGTTATGTAAATCTTTTAAAACTAGTGGTTGTGAATCTRACTTAGAGGGGTTAAGACTACTAAAAGGAAGGAAATATTGAAAGATGTTTAGGGTAATGGATATTACAGTCAGCAAAAGGAGGCCATTCTGCACGATAAGTATGTTTAGATGATAGATGATTTAGATTARTGATGCCCGTGGAGCTCTGCCTTTCTATCTTTTTTCCCATCGATTTTTAATGAGGTCTGATGCTTTAGAAACGATCAAGTTGAATTAGTAAACTTTTTTATAAAGAACAATCTCACTAAATACCATTGCTACACAAAAGGTAGATGTATATGCTTCCCCAGGCTTGCTTGAACTGTGTGGTTTTATTATAATGTGTATATTCAAAGATGAGTGTCTTTGGCAGTTTTCTAGTTTCACAAAGAATGGAGTTKTAATGACCTTGGGAAATCTCCATGACCTGTAAACAGATTGTGAAGACAGTGCCTCACTTTCTGATGTCAAGTTTTGCAGAGATCAGGTGGAGAAATACAGATTAGAGAACTGCATGCAGTGAAAATTATTCACAGGCTAACTGGTACATCAGCTTCATAGAACTGCACAGCTTAATAACCCCAGTGCAAAATATTTTGGTTCAAATGAAATGCAGCAGCCCCCTCCACCACCGTTGATAAGATGCAAATATTGGGTAACATGGTAACGTACTGCAGTCAAGGTCACTTGCTGATATTTTTCACCCAGAGTGACAGAACTCTACTTAAACTGTGTTTCTTTTTCCTTTTTGGCCAGTAAAAATAGTCAAAACTGGCAATCCCTAAAATAATGTCCTGTGCAGTGTATGGTGCAGAGAAATTTTACTGGCCCCATAAACTGTGTTGAGAAAGAGTCACCTAATCAGTAATATATATCCATATTATCCACCGTTTACCTAAAGCTTTTACTTGTAAAGATTTGTTGTATTAGCATTAAAAACCTTTTTGACCTGTGCAAAGGAAATAGCATTTTCTATCTCACAGTGATGAAAATGCTAGTAAAAAAGAGAGATAAACAAGGATGTAAAGTAGGTTTTGTAGACAACTGTTGTAAATTGTTGTGCAGTGTTGAATTTATGGAAGTTCTATCTTTTTCCTCATAAATGGAGCCAGAAGTCTCACCGTGGTTAAATATTTGGCAGCTGCATTCCGGTTCTTCATCATGTAATGCAAGAAAAAGCCCAGCTCTGCTGCGATAGCCGGGGCAGCTGGTTGTGCTGCTGCTTTACAGACTTACTCGCTTTAAGAAGGTTGTTGCTTTAATGACTCCTTAAAATACTTTCTTCCCTTTTCCCCTTCGTGGTATGAAGTGAGATGGAGTGTTTAGCTGCAGGAAAATTTAGATTAAATTGCACTTTTATACAGTCTTTATTGTTTACCAAGGCTTGTTTGTATTTTAGCACTCTCTTATGGGTGGTTCTATTCTCCACGATTTAAAAATTACTGGTGTTTTTGCTCTTGGTTTTTTTTTTCCTTCTTCTTCCTCTCCTCTTTCCCACCAGAATGGGCATTTTCACTGTATTTGATGCAAGACTTTGGGCCACTCTACCAGTATAATCCCTCTGTATGTATTCCCATTTAGAAATCAATTCTCCGTRTTTTTTTCCAAGCCTTCACAGACGTTGGCTGTGCTGTGACTGCTGTAAATACAGCATGGACCTTTAGCCGTAGCAAGCAGTATGATTTCTGGTATCTGATGTATCAGGAGAACATACAGCTGAATATCCGGAAGGGCTTAAGGAGCTTTAAAGTGGAAAATTTTCCAATTTCTCTTTCCCAGTATGGAAATGTCAACAGAGTAACTTACACTTCATCAACTTGGGGACATCTAAGCCCGGCCTCCATCCTTGGGGACCCCAAGTCCAGCTAGGCAGTCCTGGACAACCTGTTCTAAGTGCCTGTACTTGAACAGGGGGGYTGAAAGTCTCTTCCAGTCCCAACTATTCAATACTTCTGGGTTTCCTAATTCTCAAAGACTGGCTATCTTAATCAAGATGGAAATAACTTTTTTTCCACCTACTCTGTAAATTCCAGGTGATGTTCTGTATATCTTTGGAATAGCTTCACAGAGACATATTAAGTCCCAAAGTGAGAGCCCTCTGTCTTACCACAATAGGCAATAGAATTTCTCTGAAAGACACTGCAAAAATCTAGTATACTGAAATAACCTTTATTCAGTTTCTTCCTTTTCATAAAAGATGCATCTAAAAATATGATGCTGTGCTGTATAATTTGGGAGAGTTCTAGCTGGATACTGGCAGTTCCTTACAACATGGTCCAATTAAAATGTCCTCTGTACTTACACATCCCATTGCCAAAAATTTCTTGTGGTTTAAATTTTTATGCATCATGCAAATGTTTCTGATCAGTTACATCTTGTAATTGTGCTTCTTGGGTGGATTTTAKCTTGTCTGATACTTTTTAATCCCAAAATGGTAGAAATCAACAGTCTCAAGCTGTCACCGCACACAAAGACATCATTAGCCACACATCTATTAATCCTGTGGAAAGAGCATGTTAAATTCCTGCTGTTCATAATCTCCCACTGGAACCAAGAATGGCTAATGACTTTAATGGTATCACACATGGCAAAAATTAAATACATCTTTTATCCTTTTCTAAAGCCTTCTATTTTAGTGCATTGTAGATAAGGCGACAAAGCGAAAGAGAAGTGATATTTTTTACATGGAGTTTCGGAGAATGCTGTAAAAATGAGTGAGGTATACTGGAAAATCTGATAGCRTTTGCCTGATGTTTCTTAACTGGCAAAGCGATACTCAGTCCTGACAACCTAATAATTTTGATGACACCGTGATAGCCTTTTGAGCATGGAAAAACTGTTGTTCTCATACAGCAGCAATGAAAATMCGCTGGGTTTTAAGGTCACTGCAACTTTGTCAATGAGCCAAGCCGCAAATCTTTACAGCAGCAAATTTGTATTTACTTCCCAGGAAAATGACTGCTTTGAGCAGGTCCGACTTCACCCCAGCTCAGAAAGTCTTCATCTCATGCCGATGCAAGTGGTTTTCTCTTCAAGCAGAAGGAAACGGCTGTGATCCAGTTAGCGAGCCCAGCGGATCAGTGACCCTAATGCAGCACCTCCTGGTGAATCTTTTCTGTTTCCAAGCATGAGTACCTCAGCCTTGTTCTAACTCTGGCCTTTGCAGTCCATTCAGAAAACAGTTTTTCTGGGTCTCTCCTGCTCTGAACTGCAGAAGGTTCAAAACCAAAGTTTTGCAGTTTTTTGTTAGTAATGAGTTTTACACTTCCATTAAAGCTCCGGCCGAGTAGGGTCTAGCTGCACTTTGAAGTCACTGCAGAGTCCCTGGTTTCATCCAGGCATTGTCAGCAGCACAAAAGCAGCTTTTCAACAGTCTTCCAAATGAACTGTTACCTTAAACAGCTTTCTATTACATGTTCCAATACACTTACTTTTTTTTCCATCTGTATCACATAGATTGAGTGCAACTGAAATCTTATTCTCTGTTATAAACAGCTTTCTTTTTTCTCTTTGCCTAACCAGAAATTAGCAGTGGGGAGGGAAGAGGTTTGCAGAACCTCCCCTAAAACACGTGGACTTGCAGAATGGGCCGATTGTAAAAAACCTTCCAGATCCTCCTGGTTTTCCCTGCACATTCTTGGGCTGTGAGTGATGTGTCAGTAAATAAAAGTGTAGCCTGTCATTTACGCTTGCTTCTCCCTGCCTTCTTAGGTAGGGGTATTTCAGAGTTTGGTGCATAGCTGAAATCCATGGAAAACTTGCTGCAGATGCTGCGGGAGAGGCAAGTRTTAAACCTCACAATGCACCAGAACCCAATTCAAATGTGTGGCTAGAACCATGGAGATCTGAAAACCCTTTTTTTTTTACTGCAGAAAATGAAACACTGTCACTGTGATGTAAAAATGTTCCTTTCAAAAAAGGCAGCAGACTGTAAGTGGAGAGGAAGTCAGCCCTATAACCACAAATGAAATTAAATGATCTTCTCTTTCATTCTGCCAACTGTTGATGTCATGAAATAACAAGGTAAAATGCTTAAGCGTCACTTGTATTGAAACACTGAATCACCAAATCTAACTTTTTTTTTTTAATTGGGCTGTCTGGTGAATGAGCTGTTGCAGTGTCTAAAAGTCCCCGTGAAAAGTCAAAAGGGAGAACAGGAATGGAACAGCTCATTTATTGACATAGTGCTGCAGTGCCCTTTGCATTCTGCCTATCAACAGAAATCATAATGGACTAATTCCTTGCTGTAAAATGGTCTGGTTATTTGTATGGCTGAAAGTAATGGAAACCTG